TAATGAACAATGAGTTTATACGGGTTAAGAAGCGTTGCTTTACAAATCCCGTTGAATAGTTGGTGGGGATATCAAAATAACAATAATAAGAATAGGAATAATAATAGTAAAACAGTTAGTGCTTTAAATATGAAAATAAGGACCTATTGTTGCTCTGTCTTGCGCACAACTGATTGGTATATACTCCCCTACTACTTCTGCTCGGCGATTCGAAAGCACCATATCAGGAGAACGGTAGAGTGTTGTTCTCGTGCGTTGAAACTCCGAATCCCGCATTTCTCATCCTTTCTCCGTCCGCTTCAAAACTTCATGTGAGGAGCGTAGTTCAAACCCTCCGGTAATCTGACCGTTTATATATACATATACATATATATATATATATATATATATCAACATCTGTGTTCAGATAATTTGCTACCAGGACCATGATGGAATAGGAAAAGAGGATTAGGCTAAAAGAAAAAAGGAAACAAACAATTTTTGTCCATTTTCCACTCAGTTTTTGAGTATTTTTGGATGTTTTTATTGGAGGAGGGAAGGAGAATCACAGCAACAAGCAGAGATACACGCCCGTCACTGAGTTCGGTTTCGAGCCATGATTTCCAAGATTTCCAACCAACTGCGCTCAGCATCCTTGTGACCCCATCAAGGGGGTCGGGAGGAACCAACCGTGGCCAGCTGTTTTGTCAACATTTTCATCCTGCTTCTCCAAGTTGTAGGCTGTCTACCATACCGCCTCCTCCAACACTGTCCAGCGACCGCGAGCAACGCACGACGCGAAAGTCGCTGAACGAGCATACGCAGTACGTGTCCGAGCCATCGTAGTTGGCGTAGCAAGACAAGCGCCTCGAGGAAGCGGCTGTCTCCACCCAAGACAGGATTTTTGACTTCAGCGTTGGTTACTTGGTTCAGCTACCACACACAGGCGATGGACCTCAAGCAACCGTTCTCGAAGACAGACAGTCGGCGTAGGTCATCGGACGAACAGGCCAAATCTCGCAACCGTACAACAGTACAGCGCGGACAGTGGCACTGTAAACCCGTTCTTTGGTGGAGAGACGGATGTCATGGTGGCGCCATAAATGTCTCAACCTGGAAAAAGCGAGACGAGCTTTAGAGATGCGCATCGAAATCTCATTTCCAACGGCCCTACCAGCAGTGATGCAGCTTCCCAGGTAGACAAAGCTCCGTACAAATTCCAGCGTCTCACCATCGATGTTCAGTGCAGGTAGGGGCGTATGCCAGTCTTGAAAAAGCGCATTGCACTTGGATGGTGAAATGTGCATGCCATACTTCGACGCTTCAATCGCCAGACGATTAAGTGCAAGTTGGACGGCCTTCGGACCGTCACCCAACAAGACGATATCATCATCTTACTCCTGATCAACCACCTGACTACCTGGGAGGAGCTCAACGCCAGCGTTCAACAAGTCTTCTAGAGCATTTTTGAGGACATCTTCAATGACAAAGTGGAAGAGGAATGGAGAGATAGGGCATCCTTGTCGAACACCACTGGTGACAACAAAGGAATGCGAAAGCTTGCCATAAGCCTTTACCCGATGTCAGACTATACAGAGCACGCAGTACGGAAACGAACTTCCCGAGAATGCCATTCCTCAACAGACAGTGCCACAATGCAGCCCTGTCGACAGAATCGAAGGCAGCACATATATGCAGGAACACAACAACCGTTGGCTTTTGATACACCTGTTGGAGCTCGAGAATCTGGCGGAGTGTGAAAATCTGATAGATGCAGTCGTGACCAGGGAGCAAGCCATCCTGTTCTTCTCGCTGTAGTGATGCACGCGTTGGGGATAGCCTGCGAAAAATGATGGACACCAGAATCTTGCAAACGAAGGTAACCAAACTTATGCCCCTGTAATTGGAGCAATTTGTGCGCAGGCTCTTTTTGAAGATGGGAACGACTATCGACTCACTCCAGGATGATGGAACCTCCACTTTTTCCCAAACTTCTGAGAACAAAGCGGCGAGTTCTCGAACCAGCGAATAGCCGCTATCTTTAAATAGAGCAGGAGGTAGACCATCAAGGCCGGGTGCTTTATAACACTTTAGACAGCAGAGTTCCCGCCAGGTTTCCTGGTGAGAGGGAGGATCAGTTGGGATAGCCCACTCATCACCAGTGCGCGCCCAAGGGGAAACCGCTGGAGCTGGTGGCCAGGAAAATTGCGAACAAAAATGTTCGGCCCATCGTTCCAACCGTCGCTGAAGCTTAGTGATCAGGGAGCCATCATCTTCGCAGATTCTTTTGCTTACTCCAGATTGGAAGTCTTCGGTGATTCGGATGAGGTGGAACAGTTTTTTGGTATTCCCAGAGATTAGCAAGTTCAAGCTCTCTAGCATGTTAGGGCCACCAGGTCTCACGGTCCTTCTGTAAGCTACTACGCAACGCTCGATCCAGGGATTGCCGTTCCTCACTACAGTTAGTGCTGGCTGGGATCAAGTGGCGTCTGTACATCAGCGACAAGAAGGCAGTGGTCATCCAGCTTTTCGGCGGGTGACAAGCAAATCCACAACTGACAGTACTGACAGAAATTAAGGCGTCCTTGATGCGTATCCATTGCGAATTGAGACCATCATCAGATGATGAAGCAAGTAGTGTTGACAGGGAAGCCTGTTACTTGGCTAACGTCGCAGTATTTTGTAGATTTTCGACGTTCGGTCGGTAGTGCGTAAGCCTAGATGATCCTCCGAAACGGCTGCAAATTTTGGTGCTAACCAGGGCGTGATCGGAGTCCAGACAGGTTGACCAGCACGATCAGCCGTCTGTTACGCTTCCACGCCATCAGTAGCTTATTGCTATGTGGTCAAGCTGGGACCATTCTTGTGTTTGAGAAGGCGGACGCCAGGTAACAGTCTGCCTTTTCAAATGACGAAACTGGTGCTTGAAAGAAACAAGCGATGATCAGAACAAAGAATCAATAGCCTGTGTTCATTGTCTGATCGACTGCTACCGAGGCCAAAACTATTTCCAAGATGGTGCTCGCTTGGTGGTAGGCGGCCCACTCATGCGTTAAAATCCCCGGTAAGAGTGACAATATCAGACTTCTTGAGGACTACTGAAGGTTATGTAGCTGTTGGTAAAAGCAACCCTTGACTGCATCCGGACTGCAGTCTGTAGGAGCGTAGGCGGAGTCGACAAACAAGGCACCCGTAACATCTCGATGCTTACTTAACTTACATAAACACAGTAGTCTGACCGCACACAGTCGACTGTTGACTAGGATCCAGTCAAGCAAAGTGGCCTCAGCCCTGTCACTCAGTGCAACCCCAATCTCAGCTTGGTCAGAAGCGGCGGACACTGGGTCTACGGAAAGGTGCAAGCGGTATTTGACGCCAGGGTTTGCTGGAGAGGTCGCTATGATGACGGTACTGGCGTCTTGCGAGCTGGTTTCCGAAAGGCAACAGATGTCCACCGAGACTGTCTCAAAGGTGATGGGGTTAGGCATGCTTGACGTCCGATCTGCCTCAGAGTGCGCGCATTGAACGTTGAGAGGTCGAATGGAGAACCAGTATGAAGGAAAGCTTGAGCTTCAGTTGAGTGTATGTTATGACCACCGGGAAACAAACACCAAACGTTTGGCTCAGAACTCTGTCAGATGCGACCGGTGAGCTGTTGTTGACGATGACCTAGGCAGACATAGGTGCAGTTGAGGAACGGGACGTGGGGCGATTTGTGATCGGATGTTGAGCAGCAGAGACAACGAAGCCAGTAGATATAGCAATGAAAGCTGCAGTATAATCCATCCATCCATGGTTCGTCAGCGGGCGTGATACTACCCGGTTGCGCAGACCGAAGTAGAGGGTTGTCTTAGGGGGGCCCCACCCTGAGCCTTTGATCTAAGATCAAACCTACACAGGCAGCAGGGCGATATGCCGCTATCGCAACCCGTTTGGGGGCCGGTGACCAAACAAGTGGTTCATACGCCTTTAGGATCGCATAGGACCAAGGGCCCAACACACCCTTGAATTACCATGCCGCTCAGAGAGAGGCAAGGTATAGTGAGTTTCTATAGTGAAGAGTCACATTCGCCACGTCACGGTGTTGTTAAACGGTCACATGTGGCTTTTATAGGGGAACCCTTGCCAAGTGAGAACCCACCACGTCCAGGAACACTGCCACCGAGATGCAACTGCGCCATCTGACGCCAGCCTGGCTCGCAGCATGGTGTGATCCGGCAAGGTAATCGTATAATCATTGTAGTTCACGTAAGCACACATTCGAACTGCTAGTGACGGTAATTGACGGCTGTTGCGCTTATGCATATACTTGAACATTTCGTTTGTATGCTATTCCTAGCACATAACAGGTAGTCTTCGGCCTGGCAGACATAGACGCTCGTCCAGGGACCGAGTCCCTCCGTTTTTATGTCCGCACCGAATGTAAGACATGTCTTATTTAGTCTGCTATTCCTTGTGCGTGTTGTAATAGCGCGGAGCCTAGGCACAGGCAAAGAAAACATTCGTTGCCTTTTGTTCACAACCGTTTTGTCATCTAAACGAAGAAAAGTGGCCAAACAAACCCTAATCTTGAATATCCTTTGGCAAACTCCTTTGCTATCGGGGAAACTTCGCTTGTGACTGAAATTTAACTGCTTCCCCCACCTGCTATCCAAAACGCCCTCGTTTCAACAGGTAAGACTCAGTCTGACGCAGCGGACCGTATGCCTTGGTTGTACAGGTGACATCGATCACCTAGTGATAGCCGTTTTGTAAGATAAGTCCTAAAATATTCTGGTCCATTTTTTGGACGTTCCCCTTGGAGTTGGCTAATTGTACTCCCTTTTACGATTGCAGTGAGCACTTAACAAGCTTACACTGGAGATATCCAGTGGGATTCTCGGCTGGGACTAAGTAAGACACTTGGGGCCTATTGTTGCATGCCGTTCCTTGGCTATCCTGAGTCCATACAAAGAACACTGACACCTCGATATTACTCACATTATCCGAAGCCAACTTAATGGGCCACCTGGACAAGGTTATTCACAGCAGCCACTATGGTGGACAACTGGTTGCCGTGGGACTGTTGATGAGCTTTCCTTCATCCATCGACTCATCTGTCAATCCATCTATCGATCCATTGATCTGTCCTCTATGAACTGAGATGTAGTAATCCGCTCTGTGCGGAACGTGGGACAAAACAGAAAAGCATTCGTCTTGGTGCTAAGTCATTACCCTTCCCGTTCACGGGATTCTTCCTCGCAAATATTAGTGTTCCTTAGAGATCCAACCTGACTTCAACTGTTCCGCATCTGCGAGCACCAAGTTTAGCCTCCAACCTTTTCCGAGAAATGCAAATCAGGCAGAAATATTCGTAAACTTTCATTAGATGTGGTGTTCAAAAACCCAAAAAATTCTACTCCACCAGACTTTAACGAAGATGTTCACTGAGGAGTCGACATCATTCGTAGGTCACTCAGTCAAATACTGCGTAGGACAAGTTGAATCAAGTCAATGCTATCAAAAATAAAGAATATTTAATACTGTCAGGCTGACGGTAGGTAATTGATCTGACCAGTACCCTTCATGGGCGCAGTCAAAAGTTAAATCGAACTAATAATCGGTTGTTTACTTATTTACACCTCATTATGATGGCAAAATAATTAGCTGAGTCAAAACCCACTCATACAAAGCTTTCACTTTGATTAAGATGCTTCCACGTTGTCATTGTATTTCTGCAGCTACGAGACTGACTGAACCAATGCAGTGTCCCTAGTTCTGTTGTTTCTGGGGTGCTTTTTACAAATATAGGATCTTACCATACCATATGCACACAACTTGAGCTGCGGCGTGGATACACTCTGTTTGTGCAGCTAATCGTTTGCGTATACTCGTCTATTAAGGTCAGTTATCTCTGGTTTTTTCCGGATTTTAGAAATTAATGGGAACTGGGCTTGTTCCGAGTTGGAATCAAGTATAAATCGTAAAGCAAACCTCCCCACGATTTGGTGGATTTTTCAGGATTACGGCATTGTTGACTGAAAGTCTCCCCATTCGATTGCTGACGCCTTTGTTCAGCCGAAACAGCCGGACCGGCAGCCTTCTTACTCACGAATTTGATTGACGATAAAGTCACAATGGATGAGTACACGGTTTATACCAATGTTTACAAGGAGAGGACGTTTTTTAACAGTTTCCTATTCAACACCTCATTCCGATTTTGGTTTTATTCGATAGGAACTGAACCAGCTTGCCGCAGCGGTTCGTGGTGAGCTGCCCAAATTGCTCCGAGTCCTGATGTGCTCTCTCATCACCATCGATGTGCATGCCCGTGACATTGTCACTGAACTGGTCACTAACAAGGTGGACTCCTTGAACAATTTTGACTGGCAGCGGCAACTGCGGTACTATTGGGATCAAGATCTGGACACGTGTGTAGTCCGCATGGCAAACGCTTGTCACACATATGGATACGAATATCTGGGAGCCTCCTCACGCTTGGTCTTCACTCCTTTGACAGACAGGTGAGCAGATAACATCTTGGCCTTTTTGTGGCTACCGGATGAGTTGTTTGTCACTTTCGAGAACCAACCAACCGATTAACTGGACCAGCTGTTTGATTTAATACCTGTACTCCATGGTGAACGATAATAAAAGCGCCGGACAGCATAAAACTGCCGATCGCTGTAGCCACTCCTTCGTACAGAAGTTGAGGAGGAGGCCTCCGTGGGAATTTATATGCATTTCTTTGTAGCAATGCTGTCTAATGAGTTCGAGAGGACAGCTTAATTTTCAAATAGTTTGCTTTCTGACTGTGAGTGCATCAGATGTTTGCATTGCGACTTAAGGTCATAAGCACAGCCTCCTCGGCCGCCGCCATGTCCAGGCCGTGTATCCAGACAAGTAGACGTAATCGTCAGGACATCCGTTTCCAGAACTGCCTGTCACTTTGACTGCGAAAGAGGCGCGACGAAGTTGCATTCATAAGTGGCATGAGAGACTTGAACTTCGTTTCCCACAGCTCCACTCCAACACCCATATCCAATAGGAGCTCAAATCATCAGGGCCACCAATGGTATGCAATCGGTTTGCGTCACTCTAAAACAAATGTTATCAAAAATCCTCCTACTCATCAGTGATATCTAAATACCGAATTTGGACCAATAGGTGGGCTGGATCTCTTTCCATAGTTATAGCTCACTGAGTCTTTCTCTCTACATGTCAATATTCTCAACAAAGGCTAACATCTCCTGGAGGCTAGTAATCCTAGTAGGGAAATCGGACGAGTCAGCACTGAGCCAACCTCCTCACTGAACGCAGTCAGATCTGATCTATCACTCAGTGTGGCCCACTTGAAACAGCAGGACGCGACACATACTTGCTGATCCTTAACAAAGATAAATCAGAGGAATTTGAACACTATGTGCACGAATGCAAAAAAGTGCCACACGGTTAACCGGTTGACTTACTAATTGCTCACTTCTCGAGGTGTTACCGTATTTGTTTTACACATGATTGGCAGTGAGAACACATTCTCTAGTTCATATATTCGAGTAACCCTCCGTATGATATCACCATCTTTTGCGTTTGGTGCATTTACAGACTAGCCTAAGCTTGCTGATTGAGAATCACAATGATGCATTAGCTGAATAAATTTCACCTTCTCAGTGCTGCATAAAACCGATTCCACAAGGACTATTCGTATCTGGCGAATTTACTTGTAGCTCGTGAAAATTGGGCCGCTGCAATGGAGAGCAGCCACCCTATTGACATGCTCTTCGTTGACTTCTCGAGAGCATTTGATACTGTCCCTCAATCCTGACTCCAATTAAACTTGCGCTCTAACGGGATATCTAGTGGCGCCCTTAAATGTTTGTCTGCATTCCTGGTGGGGAAGAGAACAGCGGGTACGTGTGGCACGTACACCTTTTGCCTAAGTAAACCATTCTTAGTAACCATTTGTAGGGCTCTGTATCGGAGTCGTTGATGTTCGCAATCTATGTCAATAGTTTGCCTGAAGGGCTTGAGGTACGGCCGCCACTGTTTGCTAAGGACCCTAAGCTTTGGATTCTTGTTCATGTCTCTGGGCTTTCTGTAATAATTTACAATGTTTTGGATAGTCTCTTGGATCGGTCAACCTTTTTTTGATGCCCATAAGCCAGGTAGTGTTCTGTTCTCTAAATCGGAGCTGTTACCCTCACACTAGATATGTTGGTGGCGAAAGTGTAATTTCTGTTGCCATCCAACAGGTTGATCTAGCCATCGCCCACTCGTCCTCGCTTCACTATGGGGACGATGGGAAGCATGCAGCTTGGAGAGAGTTTCCTCATAGTACTAATCGCTATCATGTTTGGGGAGTTATTCTCGGCTTTTGCACAACTGCACTTAGAATTCGGCATCTAAACTTGTCCACCATTTCCCGCATTGGACTAAATAGACTGGAAGAGGTTTCTGCGAGTGAGTACCACATTAGTGCACGGTTTTATGGGCACAAGCATATCGAGTGTCTGCTTAGTTTGGGAATGTAGTCAATGAACTGCCGAAGAATTAGAGAGTACTTCATCCGCACTTAACGTGTTTCGATGGGAAAGAGCATCCCGTACTTTTATTGGCATTTAATCCCGCCATGTTACCGTCTCTGCGGTCACACAATGAAGCTGTACAAAACCTGCTCTGGCGCCTAGCTGTTGAACGCTGGAACACATATTTTCAGAGCAATAAGATAGGGGATCCATAGCCGATGTGTTTCTTCAACTTCCTCTACTTCTCACCTTTCGTTTGCACTCATGAGTTGGACTTACCATTATTTAATTGCATTGCCTTCTAAGTTTACCATGAACTTTCCTACTTCGGACAACTGGCCCAGGCGGGCTACTGGGGCAGCATATGTGAGCAGTGACTGGTGGCTATTGTTCCCGCTCAAACTGAACTGGACTTGAGTTTAAAATCTAGCCACTGCGGTTGCCCTTTTTATGCTCGCTTACAGTGAACTAAGTTGAGGATTGTTTTGCATCAAAACACAATTTTAGAATGCCGTATACTACTTTTTGAGGTGTACTGCTTTTCAACTCAGTCGACTAACTGTTATGTGATACGACTACGGGTGCACGCATACACTGTCACAGTTCTTCCAAAGGTGCTTTGATGAAAACAATGAGTCCCCACTGTGTGGAAGCGTGGGATTATCACCTCAATTTTTAAAGGCCGTAGCCGTTCAGATCCTGCAAACTATCGCCCAGTGACTCTCCTCCCTGTGTTCGCGAAGGTGATGGAAGCAGTCGTCGCTGAGGCTTTAATGGACTACCTGGAAAAATGCAACATCTTGGTACCGGAGCAGCATGGCTTCCGTCAACACCGGTCATGCACCACCAACCTACTGATTGCACGAGGTGGTTGGACGGAAGTGGCTGATATGGGGGTCGGTTTTGACGTCATCTATCTGGACTTCTTCAAAGGTTTCGACAGCAAAGATCACCGCATCCTACCTCAACGGCTACAGAGCTACGGAATCTGTGATCATGTACTTGGTTGGATTGGCAGTTTCCTTCACCAACGGAAGCTTCAAGTACGTGTTAGGGGATCAATCCCTAATCCAATTGAGGTGGAATTTGCTATTCCACAAGGCTCAGTGCTGGGACCGGTCTTATTCATGGTGTTTATCAAAGATCTGACATGAGTTATCTCCTCCGATTTCCTGCTTTTCGCCGATGACGTCAAGATACGGAGGGCGATTAGTAACAAGCCAGATCACGATATACTCCAACATGACCTAGATTGCATTTACGAATGGTCAAAGAGGAACATGCTTCAATTGAACATAGCTAATTGCAAGGTGATACATCTGCGTCACCAGCCGGTGAGCGCTTACAAGTTTGGAGACCACACCTTGGAGAAGGTCTCTCAGGAGCGTGACCCGGGTGTATTGGTACAGGAAGATCTCGGGTGTTCCAAACAAGCAGAGAAGGCGACGAGAACCGGAAATCAACACTTCGGCCTTCTTCGCAGAGCCTTCGGTCGGTTTGAACCCTCAATCTTTCCCCAAATGCTTAACGCCTACGTGTGACTCCACGTGGAATATGTTATCCAGGCGTGGCGGAAACAGGATCTCGTTGCTCTCGAGACTCCTCAACGACGGGCAACCAAGAAAGTCAGGGGCCTCTTTCATCTGCCCTATCAGCTTAGACTGAAATCTCTAAGAATGTACAGCAGTCGATATCGGCTTTCGCGGAGTGAGCTCATAATGGTTTGCCAGATTCTGAAGAATCCAAACAACATTTGCAGTCCGCTGCTGGAATTGAACCACAACACTAACCTAAGAGGTCACCCACTGAAACTGACAATTCAGTATAGCCGGCTTGAATGCCGTAGAAATTTCTTTTCTCTTCGCCTGTGCCAACCTTGGAACGCCCTCGTTCATTACGTCGTCTTTGTTCCCAATCCGCCGATATTTAAAAAATGAGTTGACGATGCATTGTCTCATTTGCATTTCATTTTATGACTTGTTAACCAGGGGCTACAAAACGCAATCAAACGGTGTCTTGCCAAACCCCAAAACAATGCATTTATGGATTTATACGTTTAATACGCTAACATCCCCGCTATTCTACATAACTCTATGGTGAGTCCACCAAAACGCTTTTCACTTTATCATGCAATTGATAAAGTGAATAATTTCCATCCCACGGGACTTGTTAAGCAATGCTTTTTACCCGTAATAAACCATTGTTCCATTATTCCATAACCCATTTCTGCCCGTCTATAATTGGTGAGTACTCTCTGTGACCTGAAGTTGGTGATTAATCTGCAGAAAGTTTTGTCCAATCTGCACTTTGACCGCAAGCAGTTCTAAACTGTTTCCCATTTAGAGAGCATCGGCCTAATGGTCACTCCTGACCCTCCTGATACTGACACGTTACACAGCTGTTGAGTCTTGTTTACTGGCATAATGTGCACAAGCAGCGTGCTTAGTAAGAGCTTGGGGCTAGCCGGCTGGGCCTTTTTCTCTACCACCATCCCGTAATATGTAGAATTGGTCCGGATGCGCATCGACGAATGAGTTCGGCGGTCACACAGGAAGTTAATTAGGCCTAATCACTATACTTGTACTGAACGGGAGTACGTTTAAAGATACGGCAATTGGGTTTTATGTTGTCCAGCCAAGATGTATGCCAGAAAGCGCAGAAAGGTTGAGTTCTCGTATTTCATCGATGTTATATGGTCTATCGGATAAATGAGATGATCGATTATTATGAACCCTTGGATTATGATCTAAGGGAAACGGTAGACTCAATACCTTTTCGTGCTTATGAGTCCCGTAGACGACCAAAATACAGCTGACATCTTCACCAGCGTGTCTGCTTATTCGTCCAAGTTTGTAATTGCGAATGGTCTTCTTATGTAGAGGAAACAGCATCGTAATAGACGAAGTGAACAAACCACAGTCAGTTGGCTTTATCGGGGCAGCAATTATTTCCACAAGTAAACCTACTCAGATTCAAGAGTATGTATGCTACCAGGTTAACTCCCAGACAAAATTCACACTTACTGCTTATTAAGCATGGTACGGTCGTTGTGTCTTGCTCAAAGGAGCTCTCCACGGTAGGCGATACTTTTTCGGGTTGGTTCGTATGCGTTCTAGCGGCCAGATAACTGTGCCGTTGGGCACAGCCAGCATTTGCACTTTGAAAACAAATGCGGAAGTTTCAAGCTGGGTTTACACACAATACGTTAATAGCAATAATAATAATAACAATAATAATAATAATAGTAACATATATATTTCGCATCAAGTGAGACTCCGCGTCCATGTTTGGCACCGATCATTTATATACAGGTAATGCCACGTTCTTGCATGAGCAATAAATGGTTGTGTTCTTATATTTGTCCATGTTACTGGCAATGTAAAAGTCACATATTTGTGTTTAACGTTAATTTGGAACACATTGTTGCATTTTGAGGATAGTGTAGACAGTTAGAATTGCATACATTTCATGAAATTCCACTGTTTCACCCGTCTGATGTTAGTTTGGCCCCCAGCACATAGATCGTCAGTGATCTCTCCCACGAAAACGAGGTCGTAATCGTACCTAGGTCTAGCTTTCGAGCTTATTACGAAATGATTGCACAGTCTCACACGGTCTGATTGTAATTGGCAGCCGGTTTCACAGGGCAGCATATCTTACTAGAAAGATGTAGAGCCGCACATTTGTCCTGCACCGTTGTATTACTTGGGTAACATCTTTGTTACGCAGTTCCCGTGTGGAACAGTGCCGCAATGTTAAGGTGTGTAGATTTCAGTAAGCACTAACATGAATTAGATTGTACAGCAAGATCAAGTTATGTTTTAGTCTTCGCAACCAAAGTGGAGCTAGACGGATTTGCTGGCACCGCTCCCGATAGTTCAAGGTAGGGTTCTTGTCTAATCGGTGTTTAGTAACTGACCACTGTACGCTCTATATAGCCGTTCTATCTGATTTCCTCATGTTGTCAAAAATTCTGCTGCAATCCTCCACAGATGTTACCTGTGCCTCATGGGTGCTCTGCAATTGGGTCTGGGAGGAGCACCAGCTGGTCCAGCAGGAACTGGTAAAACGGAGACCACAAAGGATCTGGCCAAAGCAGTCGCAAAGCAATGTGTCGTGTTCAACTGCTCCGATGGCCTCGACTACAAAATGATGGGACGCTTTTTCTCTGGTCTGGCCCAATCTGGAGCTTGGTGCTGCTTTGATGAATTCAACCGGATTGATATTGAAGTATTATCCGTCATCGCGCAACAGCTGATCACTATCCGTAACGCGAAAGCAGCTAAAGTACATCCTTCTTATCTACCCTCTTTACATGATGAGTTCACAGCAATTTTTCATCCCAGTTATTACCTGGCTCCATTGTCCATCACCAGCGCTCGGTCCAGCGATCAGACACCTTGCTGACGTAATACTATAACGATCAGACACTGCAACTAGCTTGTTGGATGCGTCGTTTACGCTCAGTCTGGCGCGTGTCGTGTTAAGTAATGCATATTCATTGTTGTACCGCTTGGAACATCCACTGTGCTTGGTTTGCTCCAAGTGAACTCCGTGTAGACCACATTTTTCTCTGAATTAAACCTTGCCCAGTTAGGTCCTTGGGGCCACATGTGAAACGGTGACATGGTAATTTTCGTTAACTAGACGCGGATTCCATGCCTTCGTTCGTCCTCGTTTGCATTCTGCAGTATTCAGCCTAAAATCCTAGATAATGGGATTGCTGGTAGACATTTATTGACCAACACACTGTTGAACTTCAAGCGTGCCACCAGGTACATCATCATTATACACGTTAGTTGCAGGCGGAGAAAACCACAGCCATTGTGTCGCAGTACAAAAGAGATGAAGAAAAAACAACAGTGGCACGCCAGCTGAGTCCCCAGTAACGGATGGACATTGTTCCGGAGAGCTAACAGCCGGCTGTCGTGCCGTAAAAAGTTATATTATGCCTACCGAATGAGATCATGATTGGAGGAGGAGGCTAAGCAGGAGAGGATGAACAAAGGGACTCACAACCTAAACGCTTTTGGGGCCGGCTCCTGGCCATACCAGCAAGTGTGTCCATCCAAACGTGTTCATCGTCCTTAGGACCCCAGCCGGGCAGTCGGGATACACCAACCGACGCTAACTTCGAAGTCAGGGTTTTCATTTCGCTCCACCAAGTCATTGCTTGGCCTCCCCTCCTCCTCTTCCAACCGCACCCACGCCGCGCAAACAATGCACGTCGCCGGAGTCGGCGTGCTGGCATGCGCGACACGTGGCCCAACCATCGGAGCCTGATGCGTGATATAATGGTGCTGAGCGGTTCACCAGCTCTTCCTGCACCAAGTACGCGACGCCGAACATGCTCACTGCTCACGTGGTGCTCTTACCAGACATGAGCTAAGTTGCGGAGGCAGCGATGGTCGAAAGTGATTAGCCTCTTTATGTCTGTCGACCTGATGGGCCAGGCTTCACAACCTTATAAGACGACTGCGTTATAAACTCGGCGCTTCAGGGCGAGAGTGATGTCGCGTCTGCACCACATGTGGCGCAGATTAGCAAAAGCATCTCGAGCTTTTGCTACATGGTTCGTAATCTCATCTTCGGGCCCACGGACGCTAATATAGCTGCCCAGGTACTTGAATACCTGATCGACTTCTGGCTTATCGCCAGCGCTTATCAGCGCTTGGGTGGATCCTTGGCAATTTTGGAGTATGACTTTGCATTTCGATGAAGCAAAACGTAGCCCGAAATGATTGACAGCCAGTGCTAATCGGTCCAGTGCTCTTTGGCATGTTTGGAGGCTGTCACATATGAGGGCAATATTGTCCGCATACTCCAAGTCCAGAAGTCGCTCACCAGGAAGTAGCTCCACACCTTCTAGGTAGTGTCCAGCGAATGCTGTTTTCATGATTCTATCAATAGCGAAGTTAAAGAGGAAAGGTGACAGCGGGCAACCTTGTCTCACACCACTGGAGATATTGAAGGGCGGCGACAGATTACCATAAACCCTCACTCTGTCCGAACAATGCGCGTACATCACTTTGATAGTATTTACGCATTTATCGGGCACACCTTTCTTCAGTAGACTGTCCCAAAAGGCACATCGATCCACTACATGGAAAGCACCTTTGATGTCGAGAAACACGACAACGGTGGGTCACTAATAAGCATGATGGTGCTCCAACAATTGACGCAAAGTGAGGATGTGGTCGAGGCAGCCTAGTTTTCGGAGAAACCCGGCTTGCTCTTCGCGGATCTGGCCTTCACGAGCGCCAGTCAATTTGTGGAAAACGAGAGAGGCAAACAATTTAAAGGCAATTGAGATCAGACTGATCCCTCTATGGTTGCTGCATTCCGAACGGGAGCCTCCCTTGAAAATTGGGACTATGACGGAGCTGCTCCAGTCTGTCGGAACAGTTTCCTGCTCCTAAAGTTTCATTAGCGACTTGTGTAAATCATCTACAAGAGCAGGTCCCCGAATTTGTAGAGAGCTTGAGGAATTCCATCTGCACGAGCGACCTTAGGTAATTTCAACAGTCTGATCTCACTTTCGACTTCTGCACGTGAGGACGAATCTAAGGAGACGGCCCAGGGAGAAGGGCACTCAGTGTCCGAAATACGGAGCAATAATTCAAATTGGTTAAGCTGTTTTGCAAAGTCTTCGGCCCAATGCTCCAAGCATTTTGACAAGCTGTGGCTCGGCTGTCCACTCTCGCCACGTATTGCCTCCTTAACACCAGGTATCCTGCTGCCTATTCCCCGTATCAGACGGAATAACTTACGATGACTACCAACGGCAGTGGCTGTTTCCATTTCCGATGCACGATGAGACCAACAGGCTTCGCAGTCTCTCTTCAGGCTATCACGCAGCTTTGGCCTGAGATTTTTGCGAGTCTCATTGTATCCGCTTCTAACCGGAATACGTCGGCGAGCGTCTATATGATCCAGAGACCTTGTACGGACCCAATATCTAGATTGGCAATTTGCTTTGCCACATGCAGACATGCCTGCTGATAGTAACGTTTGATGGGTATGCGACCAGTGATCTTCGACGGTGTTTAGTGGACGCCTACTCAGCCTAGATGTCAGCGCAGTTTGGTACGCATTCAGAACACCCGGCATCGCCAGCTGGCTGGTATCAATGCGTTCAGAGCGACGCTGCGGACGTCGCCAAAACGCACCCGCAGATCAACACACACGAGAGCGTTATCCGTGTCCACCCTGGTGCTCCAAATCGAGCGACAGTTTTGAACACAGCCTCTCCAGCGCTAACTAATCGCGATGTGATCGATTTGCCTCCATGGCTGGCCCGAGGCTGGTGGGTGCAAAGTCACTCTTCTGCGAGTGCTATGTCGAAAATTAGTGCTCGCGATAAAGTGACGAGTACCTTCACACAGGTGTAGCAACCGCTCACCGTTATCATTACAGGAGCCTACACCATGTTGGCCGCCCAGATGAAGTTCATCAGAGGACAATTTTCCGACTTGCGCATTTAGATCGCCAGCAGGCACCACAATATCCGTGCTTCTTCTGTAACGAAGAAGCTCGTTAACTTGGTGCTAGAAATCATCTTTCACCGAATCAGGACTGCAGTTTGTGAGAGCGTAAGCCTCTATGACAAACAGGCACCGTTTGTTCCCGCGCGACTTCGAAGCCTGGAACGAGCCAGCCAACCTAACGGCGCACATCCGGCTGTTGACAGGGATCCAGTCGATCAGGGTGGCTTCAACCCGGCTGCTCAAACAATGCCAACGCCAGCTTGACCGGCATTTGAAGCTGCATCATCACCAGACAGGCGCAATGAGAATGTGTCGCCAGTGTCGAATGTGCGCATCGCAGAGTATGCACGGAGCTCGAATCTAACAGGCTGGTTTCTGATAAACAGCAAATATCGATCGATAGGGTCTCTAGTGTGCGGGAAAGTGCTGCCTTTTCACCAAGCTGGAGCAAAGTGCGCATGTTGAGACATACCAGTCATAACGAGGATCGAGGACTCCATAGGAAAACGGATGAACTGACGTTGTTCGCATGGCTGAACATGGGCTTGTCGAATGGATTGGAATGACGCCCTGCGATAGTGTGTGTGAGTTGAAACTAGAAGAAAAGCGACTAGTCAAACAAGGTGGGGGAGGGCCAAGAATTGGGGGGTTAAAAACGGGGGATAAAAGTGAAGTTGGAACGAGACGCTAAGGATGAAAAAGCGCAAGCGGTGAAATAAGAAGGCGGGAAGGCTTGAGCAGTAGCATTCAAACCCCTATCCACCCTGCTCGATGCAGCAGATAGGGCGTCGTTTATTATCCTCTGCGACGGCCAGAGCATCAAGAAATTGTTTTTGATGGAGGGTTCATTGTATTGCGTGGGCAGAATACTGTCAGGTTGCCCAGACCTAGACAGGAGAACGATTAGGGTTCTCAACCAAAGCGTTTGTTTCAAAAACCTTACCACAAGGCAACGGGGTTTTGGAAGTGGACTACAGAGAGCCCGTTTTATGAAATAAGGAGCCACCATCATTCCATCCCCCAACCTGGAGAGTCAGGGAACGGAGTTCGTCTGGCCTCTAACCATTGATCAATCTGGTATGAGTGGCTCTGAATGTGTAAAACGCACCACCCAGCATAGCTCAATGAATCTCTGAGGTGCGCAAACCGTCGCACCACCCTAAGCTCCAGTCTCTTCGCGATGGGCCACCAAATATAGAGTGAATGTGAATTCTTTGTTGGGTTCCATACGCTGAACTAGGCCTAGGACCGATTGAAAAGTAATAAGCTCGGAAAATTTCGCATAAGCTTGCTCTTTATACTCGTGTATAGAAGCAACACTTCACTTGTGAGTCAAACATTCCTTCAGGCCAAGCGAACTGTACATACTTGACGTTGTTACAATACCAGAATAAACTAAACCAATCAACAGGTCAAACTAACGGATGAGGTAGTTGTAGAGCAGTTGCATATGTATTTTGTCAAGTAATCTCAAATGGGACCGCGTATTTAAACCGGGTCAGTGATAAGTGACCTTAGAACAAACGTTCATCGCATTTAGTCTCAGCCGGACAGATATCTTGCGACCAGGAAGGCGCTAGACAACCGGTTCGTCCTACTGAACTTCGTCAGTAGCACGTGCCCCCCGGATCCGAACCCATTGGCCTTACACTTACGAGTCAGCGACCTATGCCACTGAGTGACGGGAACGGATCGCCATGACAGATATCTAACTGCGATATAGCGCGGCTCATCCTCCACTGTCGTACATGTTCTGAACATCCAGAGGACAAGATTGGCCCCCAGAGCTACGACTATCCTTGCAAGCCGCCACAAATCGAGATGGCATGTAACCCGCTAACATCGCCCGGCAAATGCGTGCAACTGACGAGTCCCAAAATAGTGAGACGGCCATCTAGGGTTGCCCTGTATGTGTGGTGGCTGTGTACCTGAGCCTAGCTGCAACCAGTCTTCGCGAAGACCTTAGTACGATGCGGGTAAAATAGTTGACTGGACTTTATCGGTGGTGTTATCCGTTCGTTCGCACATGTTACGTATATCGAGAGCCTTAGGGGCACATTATGATCATCATCTTTAGATAACTGTGATCGTTGGCTCTTGGACCGAGTCAATTATTCTAAATAGCAGCCAATGAAGAACTGAGTGAGTAAAGGAACTCAGTAATTTTACAAAGTTCTTCTGCTTCTAAGGCCGGTTCTAGGAGCGACTCAAGAACACTGACATTACTGGCTAGCCACCAGTGGGGTCGTAATAGATAGGAGGTTGACAATGTTGTTGAAGTGATTGAATCTTTAACTCCTCTGCCAAAGGCACTCAATGACATGTAGAGAGGGGTGAAATGTGGGCTTAATTCAGGATGCCCAAAGGATACTAGTAGTCGGTTTACTGTACTGGCTGATGAAGAATAATCAATATACTACGACATGTTAGCGTTATACATGTGTTGTTTGGGCCGTAGTAAGGTGATTAGTAACCGCAATGCGTTCAATTCTTATCTCAAGCTAGTTACATCCAAGCGTCGCTGGTAAAACTGTGAATAACGGCAGTTTACGAGCGTTGGGGCAATGTCATCTTTTATTGTTTCCATGATTATGCCTAAGCTCTCGAGTATGAGAGACCATCTGCACTTTTGCACTTTTCCCTAATCAACTTTCTTTTAACATATTTTTGTTTAAGTGACCCTTGTTTTCAGAGCCTGCTGTGTGTTGACGTTTAGTTTCGAGTGGTGCGAAGACATCTTGACTCTCAGGGATAGTAGGGAGAAATAGTCGACCGGTACGCATTGATATCTTCACAATGTGCAAAAGCCTTGGTAACAGCTTGTAGATCAGACGAAAGACGTGCAAAATGCAATGGGTGGATAACGACAGAGGGTAATCGTTCCTGAAATGAACGATCCTAACAAGTAAAATGTAAGACGGCGCGTTAGCAAGGTGAGCAGGAAACTAAAACAGGCGTGAGGTAAACACGGCAACATGGAGCTCAGCGGAAAAGAAATTCTGGAACGTCATCCGGTTAGTTACAAAACGGGAACAGGATGTGGGGTGCTGATGTTCCAATTTACATACTCTGTCTTCGGTCTGGTTGCATAAAATTGGGTATGAAACTAATCAAGATCACAACACCGGAAACATTACTGCGGCTGTGAACTGTGCCAATACTCTTTCTGGCTCAGTACACATTTGGCGAATCTTTCTTGCTTCAAGATGCATCAATTTAGTGATTTTAGAAAGAGCTCCATACCAGCTGATTCTCAGTGCTCTGTTTCTGATGTAACTAGTTTATTTAAACATTTTATTTCAGGTTTCCCGCTTCATGTTCGAGGGTCGAGAAATCAAACTGATACCCACATGCGCGACATTCATCACCATGAATCCTGGCTACGCTGGACGTACTGAACTACCCGATAACTTAAAATCATTGTTCCGTCCCATCTCGATGATGATACCGGACTATTGTAAGTCAAACAATTAGCAATGCACAGTGCATATTACAAGTAAATAGACAGCTGTTTGACACGTCCCGTAGGATGAACGGAATCAATAGTACACAGCCAAACTGAAAAGAAAATATGAACAACATCGGGTTATTATTGACTCATCAATCGATCCACATGAACGCAAATGTTGCTCTCCCTATCGTTACGTTACGGAGATGGTTGGTTAGCAGATTGTTTAGTTCGCGTTGTTCCGACTGCAGACTGGGACTGAACACATAATGTAACACAAATAAGAAAGCGTATCTCCAAGTTGTCTTTTACGAAGCCATACTGTAGGAGAACGAATGACCTGGGATGAAACAATGGACTTAGCACGGCGATAAAATCAAACGATTAACAGTTTTCCGTTGATAAAGAGTGAGATCAAACATTGAATTAGTAAAATATAAAAAAACGCCTAGCAGTGGACTTATGGCACATTTTAAGTGTAAATAAATAAATAAAGTTTTTATTCTCGACAAGGCGAGGCACACCTTTACAGGCATGATCATTTTGACAAAACAATGTGTGATCAAGAATTTGCCAAAATCCGATATGTTTACCATAACAGTGCTTGTTTGTGCAAGGGGTATGTAAGTATGTAATTGTGTGTGTGTTTATGTAGCTGTGTAATTCGCTTGTAACTGTGCTGTTCCATTCTTGAATATTTGCTATCGTCAGCACTGTGCGAGTAGAAGATTGGTGTCTGTGGGTTGGAAAGGATTATCCAGATATCCACGGGGCAGTGACTTTATTTTGTGGCGAGTCACGACCGCCATGTCACAGTGTTGTTAAGCAGACATTTGTGGCTTTTTATAGGGAGAATGCTTGCCAGGCGAAAACCCACCACATCCTGGAACACTGCCGCATTGTTTGGTTGCGTTGTTGCGTGTTCCAGTAACTTGGGTTAACACATGTAATACAGGTGTTCGAGTTTTGAATGCGGACAACGCGGGAGTAGATGCGGCAAAATGCGGAAGTAACTTCCACGGCTGGGATACACGAAAAGGGAGAAAAAGTTCCCGCGGCATTGCAACCGGATAGACTGTGTCGCCACATCCAAGTGGTGGCCTGTCAGTGAGGTGTTGTGGCAGAACCTCAATAACGACCGGTAGGGGTGGTTAGAGTCCTTGTGGATCTGATACACACGTATGAGATCACGACGCAGAAGATGATATTGTTCACGAAAACTCCCAGAATCTTTAGACTTGACTACTAAGGAAGGGAGGTTGAACAATCCCTTAGAATATTTTGTCACCCTGCGTTGTGGCTTCTCATGGGCAGTGAGGTCATGCTTTTGGCAGGGATACTACACCTGAATGACGTACTCAACGTATAGTAACACGTAAGCTTCGAGCATTTTCGTAAAGAAGGTAGGAGCCAAACCGGCCAAACGCCCACTGCAGTAGGCACAAGTGTTGGTTAGCTTTTCCACTGCCATCTCAGCCTGCTTTGAGCATCAGAGCTCGTCCTTCATGCGTACCCCGAGATCATGTTCATGAGAAGCGTACTGCAGAATTTCTTCTCTCAGTCAACATTTTTAGATGCTCTGGTGAGGTGTGCACGTTAATTTGTAGTTGGCAGAGTTAAACTCAAGCATGTTCTGGGTCGACCATTCGTAAGCCCTATCAAGATCACCTTGAGATGCTATTTGGTTGTCTGCTAGTTTGACTAGCCTTCAAATCTTGTGTCGTCCTCAATGAGTAGAATACTTGACATCAAAACTTCCGCAAGGTTGATTGTGAACACGAGCCTTTAATGACTCCACAACGGACCTCTATCGGGTCGGACAAGGTGCTACGAACTCGCACATTCAAGCGTCTTTGGGGTAGGAAGGAATGAAGCCAGTGCAGAATAAGGTAACCGATCCCGTAGCTCCGAAATTTTGCGAAGAAGGATCCGGTAATCAAGACGAGCGAATTCCTTAGAGAAATCAAGATAAGCGGCATCGACTCCTTCAGAATCGACGGATCCAGTCCAGCTAGCACGGGCTAACAAAAGGTTCCTTGTACAATAACGGTTTTGGCGGAATCCATGTTGCTCTTACACGTTGATATGGCAGCCTTCTAAATATCCCACAAGTGCATCTGCAACGACAGATGGAGGAGGGTTCCAAGTGCGAAATATTCATAGACAGATAATATTTCACTGGCACACCAATCGGCTTTAGCGCGTGGCCCATTTGAGCTGGTGTCCTTTCTTGTTTGTACTTTGGTTGAGTTGCAACAGATCACGGTAAGCTTGTTTGGCTTGTTTGGCATCCCGAAGACGATGATGCTCACTACCTTACACGCCAAAGTGTTGCGGGCCCGTCAAATATCCCCGCAAAAACGCGCCACAAACTCCAGCGTAATGGCTGTGGAAAGCGGGGTCCCATTCGTCCCCACAACGTGGCAGTTTTCAGCCACTCCGAGACGCGGCACAACTGCGCTTCTGTTGACAATGGTCATTTACAAACTACCACCCCATCGTGGTAGCTATTTTCCCTAACTTAATGACCCATAGCATTGGCTGTGATTTGCTTCTTGTTGGTCGTAAAAGAGCCTTCAGAGGACCACCTGTCTTCCTCTTCGCCTTAGTTGGGAGTCGGTCGGTCACGTGATTTTGTATGCGGCGTTAGCCGGGCAGCGTTCGCGTCTAAACCACTAGCGCGCGTCTACCCTGACCCCCTCTCGCGTGCGTACCCCGTCCGTTACGAGGGCTCAGCGTCCATCCGAATACGGTGCGGCTAGGATCGTTCTCACGCTCGCTCCATTCACGTCTCATCAGCGTGTACCCTGGGCTGAGCTAACGTCATCACGTCAGCGCAAATCCGTTAGGTTGGTCAGCCTTCCAAGCCGTTCTCGTAGGCGTGCTCCAATCGTGCCAGTGACAATCTTATCCAGGCGTTCCCACAAACGTAACACAAAGACTTCCAGTCTGAGCCAATACGGAAGACAAAACATGCCCCTAACGGTTTTGGTCGGTCTACATTGTGAAACTTCAAGTGCATCAACATCTGGTTTCCGCCAGGGACACCAGGCACGGATGACATATCTTACTTTAGGTAGCAACTAACTGTTCAGCATTTGCGGGAATATAAAAATTGGTATTTCCCGAATAGTATCCACGTGAGATCATAGTGCAGACTAGCCATTCTACATGCTTTTTCTGCCTGTTTCGAGTAGTCAGGCTCATGCTGCATAGTTACTGCTCGATCGCTTTTCCATGTTGCACGCTGCAACGGTTGTTACACAAATCGATCTTCTTAGGTACTCTGATGACGAATGTTAAAATCTTTGCAAAAGGCTACGTTGAACTGATGACGTATGGGTCCTGTGAATTCCACCCTGCAATATCCCGTGATTATCGTCTGTCTTGCTACCATACCAGAACATGCAATGACCAGACCTGCTCTGGTTAGTAACAATGCTTGAACAAATGGGTGGAAATGTTTTCGCGGACGGTTGCGGAAGCTATCGAGCAATCAATCATGCTCCTCGGACGCGTTAAAATTAGCACCGTTCCACAATCCTTTGTTCAGTTTTAATGATTGATGTTCTGAAATGCCAACGGTAGTCATCAGGTCATTCTTGCGCTGCATCTCTTGTATCTCGTTACCGTCCTTGCTGACTCGCAAGCATGTATCGCTGCCTCTCAAATGTGACCACAGTAGAAACTAACTGTTTCACTTATCACGTGTGATATCAAGAAGTAAGTGTAGTTAACCATGTTTTCACTTCACAGGTCTCATCGCGGAAGTTATCTTGTACTCTGAGGGATTCGAGTCATCCAAAATGCTTTCTCGGAAAATGACCCAAATGTACAAATTGTGTAGTGAACAACTTTCACAGCAAGATCATTACGATTTTGGCATGCGAGCCCTCAAGTCGGTTCTCGTTATGGCCGGCTCGCTTAAACGTCTCAACCCGGATAAACCGGAGGACGTTGTGTTGATCCGAGCTCTACGAGACAGTAATTTGCCAAAGTTCTTGAAAGAGGATGCTGTTCTCTTCGCGGTAAGTTCGATAAGCCCGCATATGTCTTGAGGTCACTTTATATAAGCGTATCCCGTTAATCACGATCATTTGCCTGATAAGTTACGCCACCCAATTCAAACAAAAGACACCCAAGCAGCTGGTCGTTTCGGAGGGATCCGGTTCCTTGGCTACCTAACGCATACATGTATGTGTCTACATGTCCGAATCGGAAACTTAAATTTACTGGTCATCGGAGCTGCAGTTTGGAGTGATGAAAACTCTTCGCTATTGCATGGCCTAAACATTCCAACTCGCAAGTGGTTTTGTCCTGATGTAAATTCTCAGAGGTATATCTAGAGCCACGAATTCCAGTCAAGATGTCTTGGTCGCCAGCAGACATCTTTATCACTGGGTTCTTGGGCTTCAAGATGGACGCTTGTCCCAAAGGCTAGGAACTCAATTTTGACCTCTAGGTATTCCATGCAGTCCTAGACTACCTCACACGAACCTAGTTTGGATTGCGGTATTTTGTCAGGTGAGCGTAAGCCACTTTGATTACCAGGATTGTACCTGAACTGGAAACATTAAAGTGTGCTTACTTTTAACTGGGTGAGTTTACAGCGAACGACAATTGCTCGTATTCACCGGCGTATATACTAGCGCAGCTCTGTTAGGAACTTCCATCTATCTGGAGTTCCAGTAAAAACAATATTTGACTGTGGGGACGCGATATCACGCCCTTTACAACGAGAGCCCACTTAACTTGGGTGTATGAATACAACATTGTGCATAAAGTGTAAGTCTTTTGTCGGCGAACTCAATATCTTATATGGTCCGCAGTTAGATTACAGTCCGTGATGGTCGGTTATCGTCCCCAATGGCTCAGTGGCAAAAGCTGCCGGCTAGCAGTGCAAGCCACTAGCAGTCATGGGTCCGATGCAAATTAGGGGACCGAAGGAATACGAGTCCCAATAGAGCAAAGCGATCATCCAGCACTTTTCCTGATGAATAGCTCACATTTCCGGTTTGTTATCTAATTGATGCGATGAAACAAATAAGATCATACCTAAATCTATCTGTTCATTATTAAACTCAAGACGGTATTGCATACTGACGGTGGTGGAATAGGTTTACTTCAGCAGACATGTTTTATCTCGATGGGTTTTGAGACACCGACTGTCAGGTGTAGTTACTCATAACTTTAAGCAAAAACCCTGTGGAGGCACAGAGTACAATTGAGCAAGGGAACAATGATTTCCCGTGCGTTAGAACGCTAATGCTTGAATACTCCCACAGGAAGGTCACAACAAAAATCTCCATCTGGCTTGTGAGCTGCTAGAGGAGTCAGTAAAATTTCATCAAAAATCCTCTTACTGAGTAGTAATAAGAAATCATTAGATAAACTAAATAAATCGGTAAGCCCATCATGATACTAACTGTAAGGTAGCCGTAACCGCACTCATCCTGAATTTATGGGGAGGGCAGTTGAGCGAACCAGGTTCCATTACATTCGGTGAATGGGTTAGGGACTATGTAATCCCAGTACTTTGCCTCATCCTTATGATGCAGCAGTGAATTTGTTTCTTATAACCGGTTGTACGGAGTTAACAGCTCCAGAGAGAACAAATACCCCGGAAGTAACTATTTATTGACGCCTTACGGTTTCCTCTCGGTTCACAACCTGGATGGCACTGCACTCCACGATTAGTCCCGGAATCTTTGCCTGTTCTAACTGGTATTACGGGCGGCCGGGTTTATCACAACCATTAGTGACTGATTGGAGGGTCAATTCAAAGCACACGTTATGTGAATGTACTGCGATGCGCAATCTCGATGTGGACCGCGATCCTCATTAAAGTGAACCTTGGTCCCAGTGATCAAATTACTGTAACCGCAACTGCTATAGCAAATCAGCATAGCGTGTTGGTAACCAGCAAACAACAATATCACATTCTCATTGGTAGACTGCACTCATGCCTTCCTGCCCATCAACAATCATTCATTAAATAAACATCCCCGGCCCCCTTTTCAGGCCATCCTACAAGATCTCTTTCCTGGAGTGGAGCTTCCGGAGAATGATTATGGTCGATTTTTGTCTGAAATCGAAAACGTGGTTCAAACATTTGGCCTCCAACCCGTACCGGAACAGATAACGAAAGTGATTCAGTTCTACGAGACGCTAATGGTTCGCCACGGAGTTATGTTGGTTGGTCCAACAGGTGGAGGCAAGACAACTGTCTATCGCATTCTTGCAAAGGTGCTTGGGAATTTACACGACGCAGCATTATCCATTGAGAATCCCTCATACCAACCGGTGAAAACGTATGTTCTTAATCCCAAAGCAATCACTATGGGTGAACTGTACGGCGAAGTCAATAGACTGACTTTGGAGTGGCATGATGGTCTGTTGGCATTGATCGTTCGCCAAACCTGCGCGGTGAGTGAAGTTGGTGTGGTTTTGTGTATCCGTGATTTCACCATCAGAAACGCTCACTAGGACCGCCGTCTTTATGTCTGACTAGCTTAGACGTTGACCTGTGTTAACCCTCTGCCCATTCAGTGTTATGTATTTGGGCGGATACTGAGAGAATTGTCCACTTGCACTTCTTTAGAGAAGTTGGCCTGTAGGCTGTCGCATCTCGATGATCACATTGTTCTCCCTTCGGGAGTCTTCTCAACCTGCTTTCCAGTCGGATACCGCAGTCGATGTCTAGAAGCAAGCGCCTGTCCTTCGAGTCGACCCGGTGGGCAGAACATGGCTTACCAATAAATATGTGTGCCATATTATCATCACATTGCTAATTGGCTTGTGATTTGACGAGCTGTCTGATGTAACGGCTGGTGTTGCACACTTACAGAGAATGGTTTGGAGGAATTTCCAGGATATGTAGTAAAGGTTAACACTAGCTTTCTTCTGTAATTCAGGTTAGCCTTGTTACACTTTGTGCTTATACTGTCAGCTTTTTAGCGATTATCTGTGGTCCAGAAGTGTGCGTTGTTGATCAAGTTGAACAGAACCTACGCCTCTTGGTAACTGAAATCCTCACTGCAATCTAGTTAGTATAACTACAAGTGGCTGAGTTTAAAATAACCTGAAGCATCGGAATCTTGAGTTTTCTATGCCGGTGGCTTTATATCATTGGCACAACGTGCGGCCAAATGTTATCCCAGGAAGTATACTTTGTGTGCAAATTCTTCACCGCAGTCAGCTCCCAACCAGACGGACACTCATACATCCGGGATAGCGCTTTTTGGATCCATGGGGACTAATCAGCAGTGCACACCCTCCGGGCGCACTGAGAACACAACCTATCACCTTTGTATGGCAACTAAGGATAAGGTGGAATGGAAAAAATCATCTACTCGGTAATAATTAGGTCTTGGGTTCTTGGGCGTTACTCTTTGTTGCGTCCGAAGAGACACAAGACCGAAGCTGTAACCAAACAAGTACATGGGCACAACGATCACACAAAACAGCGATTTCACTACTTAAAGCCATATCACTTAAATATACAGACGAGGTAGCCAATCAGAATTAAAGGCATACCTTCTTCAATGAACTTTAATAGAGGATAACCGTAGCGTAACAAATTAATGGTGTGGGTGCGTCAACTTGGCTACGTGAAACGCAGGGTAGAAACACGACACTGTCTTTGCAACGGGGTTATTAGATGCGAACACCCTTTATGGTTCTGTGGTAAATCTCATTTTCCATCCAAATTAAGGACACCTCTGAGAATCACCAATGGGTTATTTGTGATGGACCAGTGGATGCTTTGTGGATCGAAAACATGAACACTGTCTTGGACGACAACAAAATGCTCTGTCTGGCCAATTCCGAGCGTATCAAGCTGACCAATTACGTACACATGATTTTCGAAGTGCAGGATTTGGCTGTCGCCTCACCAGCCACTGTCAGTCGTTGTGGAATGGTGTTTGTCGATTCGGCCGATCTGGGATGGATGCCATATGTACAGGTACGTTGCTGGATTATTTGATTCATTAGTATACTGTTGTACCTTGTCATTAGGCGGCACTGAAGAAGAGACCACTTTGGTGCTCTTTAGGTAGCTCATAAGCAGAAGTTGGCTATCCCGCTCAGCATTTCAGTAATACCAGTATACACTAAAATTAGAAGACATGTGATCATGTGTTTTAGTTATCGACCAAGTAGGCGACCACAGCCAAAACATTTTGCAGTTTCGTGTTTCCTTTTCAGACATAAGAAGGGAATAGATAGCGATCGATTTCCCATCTTACCATTAGATGGTAAGGATGTTTTCGGATAGGATTTTATTCAATATTGTGTGGACTTTGCGTTGAGTGAAGACAGTGACGTAGCAACCGCTTCTGCTGCCTGGGGCGGCGGTAGGATTTCCGCCCGTGCTCTCCAAAGATGTCTGAAAATCCGTTAGCCTTCAAAATTTCAAAAAAGCCTTTAGAATGTTTTTTTCCTACAACAGCAAGAACAGGTCAAATATTGAATTGCTTCCACAAGTCCTAGACTTCGTTTTGCCACAAAATTTACAAGCGTTCCTCGCTCTCACTTCTACAAATTTCTCGATAACGGTAGCAAAATTCAGTCCAATGGCAAGTTCCCTCTATGAAGAGAACTACCAAGTGCGTGAGTCATTTTTAGCTCATAGCTGGTCGACGATAGTTCTTTATATACTTGCGTTTTGAGAAAGAGCGCTTATACCTGAAAATACTGATAGATCGGGTCAGGAAGCTGAGGAGAAAGATCAGGATATTCGTGGCATATTCCCTTATGTTTGGACCTCGAAGTTCAGTGTTGTCATTTCCTTAAGCATCTACAAATTACATTGATCTTTGCTTTCGGAAAATATTTTCCCTATTTCTATATGTTCCTTAACTTCACTAACTTGATGATGGTAATTACTATCAAACAGATTTGATGACATAAGGAAAACAATGGTTACAATATCATGTGTATGGTGAAGTCTACGACACATTTCGTCAATCATCTTGTCTATGACAGACAGGATTTCATGTTTTAACTCAGCACCAACTCCCAGCGCTACATTAAACAACTCTTCATTATCCATTCATTTTTATTGCGGAATCTACCCTCCGTGCTTATCCATATTTCGGTGCATAGTTCTCTTGGATTTATCCATTGCACTCTCCACCATCTTTTCTATTCGAAATGATGCGATCTCTTAACTCTCTGAGCTTGATTGAAGTTTGCTCGGAGATATTTCTGTGTATCAGTGATTTCTGAGATTAGAGTTTTCCAATGGCTCAGAACCTAACTAAACGGAAACGGCCCTAGCCAGACGGGGATTAAAGATGCATCTGATCATGTGGATGCATCTTCTTTTGTGAGCTACCACCCAGGAGTGAGGATTTCCAAGTATTTCTTCACCACAACGTTTACAAGTTAAGCTGGACTACTCCGTCAAGTTTTCACAGCGTGCTTGATGCTTAGACCGGATCAAGACGTCCCAGCATTATGTTGACGTAGAAAAGAATGTGAACCACCTGCCCATTGCACCAAAAGTTTAATACAGTGAGTTGTATTGGAAACTGCACGTATACAAGCCAGGTTCAGGAAATGCTTTGTGCACAGCACAAATATACCTTTCGGGCTGCTTTTGTACCTGTGTCTCCGCACACTTAATAGGTGAACTAGCATAATACCAGCATTGTCAAATGCCTTGGCACGGCAGTCATCAATCTGAATCCCATCCCACTCTAGTTCCCACAAAAGCAGTCTAGAAATTCCCACTGCATCTTTGCTGTTGCTCTCATTGAAGCGGAGGGACGATTTCTTCATATACACTTCATTTTCATCCATTTATACGTAACGCAACGCAGCACTCGGCGACTTCTTGTCGACCTAGTAGTGCCAGGTTCTGCTTAGCGGGAATCCTGACTTTATCCAGTAGTCTAGCTAGCATTTCACACCACTTCTTAGTTACATTTCGAGCAGCTTCTCACTGTATTTTGTCAATTACCTTTCCTACAACAAACCCCCTCCAGTTGAGAAATGCGTGAGTATGCAATTTACTAGATTCATGTCAATGTATTTTTGAATTTAATTTACACCAGTTCCTGAAATCCTCATCCGTTGAGGAACTGGACTGTCCTGTCGAAAACAGTCTGCGGCGGAAGCCAACTAGGGCCTCTTTTGAAGGAGAATACACCATCCATGATCGCAAACTTTATTTTTCTTTTCGAAAACCCCGAAAAAACAGCATTTTTGTCGGCTTCTTCGAGTCATCTTCTGTTTACACTCCAGGTCGCACCATTTCTTTGAATACATAATTGAGATGCTGGTAACCGGCAGATTACATTGAACAAGCGTAACGTGAACTTCATAGTCAAGCTAGAGAGACCATAGACCGACATGCGTGAAACCGGTCGATGTGTCTACTATCGCGCCAATTAGTGGCTGTTCTTCCAATCCTTCAATTTCACGCACACATGCATCAGCAGTGCAGATATTTTCCATCTCGTCAACACTGTCAATCTCATTTTCTGCTACACAGATATCAACGTTTGTGCATACAGAATACTGAATACTGAGAATACAGAGCGAGAAGATAACAATCTGTGTTGCTCCATCGTAGGTGCATCCGGCACATGCGCGGAATCTCATCGCTGATTCCTCCGCGGTGCCAGCATATTGCAGCTGCGCTACATCTTATCCGGGTGCGATACGCTTCGCATAGTGGTTGTCAAGGAATCGCTTGAATTCCGACACCGATTTCGCCTCGGCTAGTGTCTTCGTCAATTTGTTCCCAAATTGCACCACTCGACGCTCGAAGCATAGAGAGTGAGCGATGGGCTTTAAATCCCGTACCACTAGTTTGTACCGTTGTCCGCATGTTCTGCTTCGTGCGCGAACGTGCAGCAACGTCCTCAACATAGTGAAGTGGGCCAGGTGTACTCTGTGGTGCGTCATAATGAGATCAAATCGAGGACGAAGAAATGACAGGATTTACTGCCCTAGTCTCTTACATCGGTCCTGGTACGACATGCCCCGCAAACTGGGGATGATCTGGGTAGCTACATGTTGGACCCGTTCTGGTTATTTCACCTCATCTGTTGGTATAGGAAATAGGTGGGTGAGCCGTATCCAAGCATCCGTCTCATCACTGAAGAGAATAGACAGGTGGAAATCTCTTCAGCCCAAATGCAAAAGCTGCATCTAAGTGTCCCAAGCAGGTACAGTACGTACATTCTGCTTATGTTATGGACAGCCAGAAAATCACAGACTGGGAGTACGCTTAGATCGTTTACGGAACTAGTGAGAGGCAGCTTGTGGTCGTCCAGGTGGACGCACGTCCATTACCACCAATCTCCAGGCTCGTAACGAAAAATTTAATTAAGTTGACCAATAGGTAATGTTCTGCAGTCCACCAGCATAGGTGGTCGAGATCCTGCTGAAGGACGTCCCAGCCGTCTGGAGAATTAATAATTCGCCAAATCTTAAGGTCATCCGCAAATAATACGCAGGACGACGGAAGAAGATAAAGTATTTCGTTGATATGGATCAATAATAAAAGTTGCCCCAGTACTGTGCCTTGGGGAACTCCGCTAGTGGACGTGTACCATTGCATTAGGTGGTCATCCACCTGAACCTGCCATTTCCTCCCAATAAGGAAGTTACTGATCCACGGGTGCAGTGCCAGTTGATTATGCTCTCTGTCGAACCAATGTGGTTTCACTGGTCCAGCTTTCCGATACTTGATGGGTACGAAACGAGTGCACAACAACTGCACACCCTTTTATAACAGAACAAATGGCTTAAATAGATGAATCCTGCGGCAACGAAAAGTCTACTTCACTGCCGGCTCGATTTAGACCATTGAAGTCGGTCTTTCAATAATTGTAGGACGACTCCGGCGGACCCCAGTAGGGCAGCGGCACCTTTAGACTGGCTAACACCATCGAGTGGTCACTATTTGCCAGAGGTTTTAGAGCCTAAATTCCATGTACACGTTGCTCGCAACTCGTTAGTGGTAGGTCCAGGCACGATGGAGCGGAACGCGGTGTAACGCGCGTCAGTTGGCAGACATGTTGTGCTGCCACATTTTAAAATACCATCTCCTTAAACTACGGCTCGACTTCACAGTGCCCGGGGAGAAGTTGTACCTCAGTCGGCCGTATTCGAAGTAAGTTAAAATCACCCATAAGCAGGAAGCGAGGCCGACACATGTAGTTTCTGGCATGCAGCACCCAATCCAGGCATCAACTTCGCTGGCTGCGATAAGCAGCACCTGCAAACAGTTCATCCTCTCTCAGGTGGATCGGGCACCATAACTTTTCACAAAAGCCACCTTTGCTACGGTAGGTGTGTACCAGTCTCCCGCACAGCGAGGACCGAATGTATAACAGCACGCCGCCTCAATCGTTTGATACTCTGTCGCACCGGAAGCCCGTGTAGCCACTGATCTGGACTTCCTGGGTGGTGACATCAGGATTTAACCAGCTTCAGGCGAGTTCCAGTACGGCCGGACGAGGTGAGGCAACGAAGTGAACTACATCGTCACGTTTGTTCATTAAACTACAAACATTGGTGATGGCTATGCGCAGGCCGCGGGAGGAACCGGTAGACGTGCATGAAGCCTCATCGATCTATTGATCCGGGTTCTGCGGACCCCAGGAACTACCCGAAAATTCACGATGTGGAGACTGGTATCTCCACCATTAATCCTCCGCTTCAGTTCCACGATAGCGGACTTCAGTTTCTATCTGTCCGACGGATCCAAATCGGGACGAACGTAGATCTTTATACCTCTCAGTCTACTGAAGCGGGATAGTATGAGCGTCGGACACGTTGCATCAACCAACGTGACTCGCAGAGGTCGGTATTTCTCCTCCTAGCTTTTTCCAAGTCAGGTGCTTTGTTTCACTCGCAGTCTCTGTTCATTCACGTCAAGAAGCCTATCAATCAGGCTCTGCAGAAGATCCACGTCGTGGTCATAACGAGCCCGAGGACTAGCATCTATGGACTCAGGCGTGTGAAATACCATAACGTTACAACGCCGCTGATTGCTGGCAGTCGTCTTCTCTTTTTTGCTTCGCTGCATTCTTCATTGGCACTCACAGCCTGCGCTACCGCACACCGGTAGGTTAGTGTCCGTAGGACGCAACACAGGCACGCCAGCTGAGTCTCCAGCAACGGGTGGACATCTCTGTGGAGAGCCTACAGTCCGTGGACAGGTGGGCTCGTTCAAACACAGAGGTGGTTGGATTTCCGCTTGTTTGGATGAACCCACTGAGCTCCTCCCTATGTAACGTTTCCCTCGTCTTGTAGGCTCACACGGCTTCTAGGTTGTTTGTGACTTCTCAGTGGCTTAGCATTTCCATCACAATAGTTGGACAAAGTCATGCTGGATTTCACGCAGTACTTGAGAAGGATCTAAAAATAAACCAATACACGAAATGTGAAAGTTCACACCACACATGTGGCTTGTAACAGCACTGGCTCTATGCCCAACTGGTTTGCAACAAGTTCCAAAGGAATTCAGCTTTGTCATTACTGATAGCTTAACCGGTGTGACGGTAAAGGTGTAAAGTGAACGATAAGTACACGATAAAACTACCGGAGTAAAATATACGGACATGAAACTAATACACAATAACCAAATCAAGCATTTCAGGAGAAACTGAATCTGACAAAAATAAAAACAATACATCTGCTCTGCACAAAGCAATGAATGATGCAAACCGGCCTGTCAAATAGATTGAGAAAGCACGTCCGAGGAGAGTTATTCGCAGTCTTCTAGATTAGCATGTTTAAGTAATAATTCCGTCAGAGCAGGTTCGAGACACCGGCGGACTAGCTGAACTGAAATGAATCACACGGTGAACACGCAAACGGCAACTCGAATGAGTTAGTAAATGTCAGCGCTACCGACACAACGGCACAGTCACCGCAACAGCGACGCTCCGATGAGCGGAAAGCAGAACGAGCGAGTGTGCGCGAAAAGGTTTATCGGAACAAGGGGCAGTCCGAAGCCACAATACAATTAACATAACCAAAAGTGTAACAAGTCCGATTAAGTCTCACAGGGAATCAATAAATTCGATATTCAATCTTCGTTCGGCCCATCGATACCTGCGAGAGTAAAAGAAGCGTCACAACTCTAACGATTAGTTTAAATGATACAGTACAGTTTCGATTACGTTACAAGTATTCCGTTTTGTTTTCAGCTCTTCGGTCATGGAACCATCTTAGATGAAGTTAAACAGCACGCCTTTATTCTTCATTGTCTCTCCTCGTTTGCCTTTTTCTTTTTGCGGAATATGGCGACGCTGGCATTCACGTTCTTCCACACGGTGTCTTTATTGATAATTCGCATAAATATAAGTTCTATGCCTTGCCGCACTACTAAGTGCAAATATCTTGCTTCATTAAAGCCACTATTCCGGTTTGAAGTTAGGTGATAACGCGGCTGCTTCTCACGGTTTGTGCAACCATGGATCATACTTTTGACACGAAGTCTGGATGAAAGCATTTAACAGCTATACTCAGCTATACTCAGTCACATGATCATCGGTAGCTGGCAGTGCGGAGGGTGGATATTTCCTATTTTCCGGTACCATTAGCTCTCTAAACTTACGAGTCAATTGTTAGTACTGCTGCTTCACTGAGGACAGCAGCTACCGATGTTATTAGTTGTGTTATATCGCACCTTACACTCCACTAGCTTGCATGTTACTGCGATACGGAGAAAGCGGTGGCCCACCGAGAAACGAACTCCGAAACTAGAGCCGCCATACAACACACGGCATGAGAAAAGATTTGTGTAGAATGCTGATGATAACGAAGTCGCTTTGGGGTTAGCATAGTCAAGATGGAATTCATCCAACTGTATTCTTGCCATTCCCCCTTTCAAATGAGACACAGATAGCAAACAAGCGAACTGATTGGTAGTGATTCAGGTCAGTAAGTTTGTGCTGTCAACTCTCTCAGTCTGGAGGACTGTGTACCACGTAGATAGATTCTTTCCAGTTTACTTCGTTTGGCTACCTCCTCAATGAAAGTAAATAACTAAAGTTTGATCTGACCAAAACAAAATGTACATTGCTTTCATATTTATTCTCCCAGACTTGGCTAGCCAGTCATGAAGCTGCCCTGACAAAGCCAGTGACCGATTACCTCAGAAATCTATTTTCTACTTATGTGGATCCTTGCCTCAAGTTCACGAATCAGCAATGCACAGCCCTCATTCCACAGGTGAGTTCAGTTCGATGCGCTTTACCAATTTTCGGCCTGATCTCCGACGTACAGTGGATCTATAGCATGTGCACTAAAATGGGATACAAATCGACGGTCACCTGACCGATTGGTATGCTTCAAGCATTGGCACACCCCAAGGCATGGTGCTGGGCTTACATTGTTCTTGATTTGTATCAGCCATCAAATCCAGCTTCTTCGGTTTCCGTATGCCTTGTTTGGAGACCACCTGAAGAGGCGGAGAGTGACAAGAACTTTCGACGACAGCGGCCTACTGCAGCTAGATCTTAGTCGCCTTTCCAGGCGGTCTGCAGAGGTCAGCCTTCCGGTCAGCCCATCCGAGTCGGTATTCCTCAGTCTGGGGAAGGTTGGAGACGGCCGAAGCTACATTCTTGACGGCCAACGACTGCATCTTTCACCTTCTGTGAAGGACCTAGGCGCACTCTCACGTTGCGATTGGAAGTCCGTGGACCACACGAGCAGGCAATATCGCATGCCCTGAACCCCCAAGCAAAGCTTCTGCCTGTAGTCTGAAGAGGTTGCTCCTAGCCTCTTCTCCATCATCAGACCAACGTTATAGTATGGCTCGCACGTCTTTTTACTCGATCACTCGAAGTAAGGCGCGGAAAATCAAACGGGTCCACGACGTAGCTACAAGGCTCATTCCCATTTTGCACGGTTTGCCACATAAAAACAGGTGCGACAGACAGGGACTGTACACCCTGGCTTGTCCTCGAGTGCGAGTCGACCTCATTATCTACCACATACTACTTCTAAATGGTTTCCCCGTGCAAAGTCCACAGCTCCACTTGAGAACACTTTGCAGCGCATACGGCCACCATTATAACTTGCGGTTACAGATCTGAGGCGAGTTACTTACCTCTTGTGCTTGGAACGGCGAGTGATCAATGCTTGGAACAGATTGTCGGAGCATATAGGGAAAGCAAACTCGGTGCAGCAGCTCCTAACGTTGTTGGCTATACATTTCTCCGGTGTTCGATTCCGAGAACGGTAACTCACGCATCTGACATTCGTGAGTCTCAATTTACTGTGAGCTACATGTTCTTTTATGCTATCAAGTGAGAAATAGAAAATCGTGCGAGGTTTTGACAGGTCCTTGAGAGTTTGTTTTTTAAATGTTATTTCTTCTACTTCGTGACAGCTATATACATTTAGATTTATACTTTCCAGCAAAATATAGGATGCAGTATTCAGTAGTATTCACAATACTGGCCAAAAGTACCGACAACGGATCAACAATGAAAGGACAATTAGGTAAGGTGTCAATCGCGAATGCGAACTAAATCTATTTACCTTGTGATTAACAACGAAAACGGGCAAGAAGTGAGTGCTTGACAACCTCTGTAGAACGGCAAAGGATTATAAAACCAAATGTAAACTAAATGGCAAAAGAAATGGGAAATTCGGGGATTACGTGAATTACCAAGCTATTCATAGGAACACTGATCCAAGTTTCCTCACCGCTACGTTCCAGCGATGGCTGGTGAGCATATAGTTTGGTTCGCGTTATATCATCTTCCGACTGAAACGAACTATCTCAAGTAATGTAACTGGGAAGTCGTGTCGTTAAGGTGTTTTTTGAAACACTTTAAGGTTGGGGCAAAATGTGCCGAGTTGGAACTGTGTTACACTTTCCGGGACACCCGAAAGGAGTAGAATTCCTATCAACAATCAATTCGACTGTAGTGCTTGGCCAGTCTGAACAGGCTGCCTCGGTTTCAACAGATTGTGAATCGGATTTGCTAGTATTAGGTAAAACAACTAGAGGTCTCCTCGATTACACCGATATTTGTCACTGTACAATCCCAGGGTGTGCGGTCTATGTTGGTGAGAAAGGTGAAACAGGCCCATAACAAGTTTGGTCGCTCTGGTCGTTCTGGTGCTTTAAGTACATCGACATCAAGTTTGCGTTAGCGACTTCAGGCTTGATTCGCTTACGGGCCTCATGTAGGCATCCAGCAGTTGCGAAAGAGAGATGACTGAAACGTGGCGAAAGCCCTCCTAGGTGTTGACTGACTCTTTTCATTACCTTTTCTGCGTGTTCCTAGCGGCCTAAGTCGTGCTGAACGATTACTCGGAGATCGCTTTCCTGGGCAATACGTTGCAACTGTTAGCCCCGGTCGATATTTATGCGGATGCTGGTGACGTATGTTCAGAACTTTGCTATTCGCCACATCGAGCTGGAGCTGGTTTTCAGATGAACATGTATAGGCCCTCTCGATATCGCTCTGCCGTGTCGTGTGCTCGTCCACTGTTTTGATATCATGCAAGCTTTTGACATCGTATGCACGTAGTAGGAAGTTCGACTGGAGTACCATAGCAAACTTATTGATGAATAGTAGGAATGAACGTGGTAGACCACAATAGAGTCAGGGTTAGAGAGTTTAACTGGGTCAGAAATGTAACTGTGTACTCATTCATACAGCTGATGTTGCATGAGTAGGCTGCTTATCCAACCTAGCACAGATTCACCGATTGCATAGTTCTGAAGCATGTGAAGACGAATACAATGGTCCAAGAGATGCAGCGCATTTAAGTAGTCCAAGTAGACATGTAAAACATGTAAGGATGATTAGTTAGAATCAGTGCATTGAACACAAACTTACCTCAGTCCTGCTGCTTGGTCACATCGGACACGAGGAAGACGGGCACAATGGTCGTCAAGTAACGCATGTCGTGTTTGATAACTGTTGAGTAGACGCTGTGTGAACGAACCTAAGTTTTCGACACTCCTTCCTCAGTGGGTTGAAATGTGTAGGGATAATGTTTTTCAATCAGTGTTGCATGAAAGCTGATAACCGTCGAGACCCAGGTCGTGACTGCAGCTTCCGCGTGGTGCCACGAGTCAGAAGCCACAATTCGCTGGGACAAACTAGTCTTCTCATCTGAGTGAACTTTTCCTGAATGTCCCATTCTGGTTCACCTTGGCGGATCGCAGTGGACTCGGCAGATTGTGGTATTCGCGTGCAGACGTACTTTGATCGAGCATCAAGTGTTTGTTCAATGGCTTTGAACGACTCGACTGATTTAGTGACCGAATCGGCACTAAAGAGACATTTTGCTGCGTTGACATTCCCCCATAATGCGAAAAACAGTCAACGTTGTTTTCTGCTTGAGGGCCTGACGGTCAGGATATCTTCCAGATAACCCTAGGCGAAGTCTAAACGCGACAAATTTGGTCAGTGAAGAGTTGAGAAGTTTGTGCGCCAATCTTAAGATCATGTGGCAGGCGCATAAACTCACACCAATAAAGCGGGTTCGTCACGGCAATTGTAAGGATGTCCGTCTCTATTACCGGAATGTGGCTGTATTCGCGAACCAAGTCGATCTTACCACCAACCGTTCAACTTACCAAACTGGCTGTGAGATGCACGATATGTGGGATCGGACAGCGATCCCCCAAACTAGCCACAGGGACGCCACTTCCTCATGGCCATCTTTGGGATTAAGTGAAGGGGCGACGTCCATGGCCTGCTGGATAGCCTGATGACACCGAGTTGAAGCACCTGGTCGCATTTGGCTTTCGCGGCACGCAGCTTGTCTGGGGTGAATCGTCTCGGTCGTGCACTCGTTAGCTGGTCACGCGTAACTATGTGATAAGCGACCTCTGTTGTGACTTGTGAAAGCCAAAAGCTCGTTTTATCAAGCACCGGGATTTTGAGAGTATGCTCATATAATCTGAATGTGTGACAGCGATTCGCAAATCGGACCGGTCACTGGGGCATCTAATAGCAAGTCTTCAGTTCCTAGTTTAGCAGGGTTGTGTGTGGAGACTAAATGTTGCAGGAACGCCAACTTATCCCGCAAAATTACGCAACTGCGCTGCGAACTTTACTACGCGAGCTACGCCACGCGGGGTCCATTATCCTACTTACAACGCAGCAGTCTCCATCTAGTCGAAGGCAGTCAACAATCATATCAAAGTGAGTATTCTTTGTAGGACTTTGTAAGCAGCAGAGTTATTGTTTATAGGGTAGGTGCTGTTTTTTAGCTATGAAGATGTTTACCTACAATATTGGCGACTTCAGCATTTTGCTTCAGCCGTTATAGCTTTAATATGGCTTAATGTCTACATGGCAACGTTGCAAACATGTTTGTACAGTTTACTTTCGGCCTTGTTCAGTTGTTTATGTTGGCCGCGTTGCTTACAGGTGTCGCACCTTACCGCAGGTTCTAGTATATCGGAACACACAGCAACGTCTTTCACAGATTCACCGGCAGCCATTGTCGAGTTGTTGGTTCAGAATGATGGCTTCCAATTCATAAAACAGATCAGTTCCTTAAAGGCATTACATTCAATTCGCTGAATGTTACGGGTGGGTTGCAACTTTTTAGGTAGTGCTAGAAACTGTGTTCACAGCATCCATCAGCTGAAAGATTTCATGGTGTTTTTGTATAATTTCGTCGCAGTTAGACACAGGCAGACAGCCACCACACATCCAGGAAAGCGCTAGACGGCCATTTCGTCCTATTGGGACTCGTCAGTAGCGCGCACCCGCCGAATCCTGCCGGATTCGAACCCACGACCTTACTCTTGCGAGTCAGCGACTTATGTCACTGAGCCATGGGCGACGGCAGCGGACCGCCATGACTGATATCTAACTGCGATATAGCGCGGCTCATCCTCCACTGTCTTGCATGTTGTGAATGTGCAGAGGACAGGGCTGGCCCCCAGAGCAACGACTTCCTTTGCAAGCCGCCACCAATCGAGGTGGCATGTAAGCTGCTAAGGCGACTACTGATTATTTGTAAGTAGTAGGGGGATTTATTGGGTTTTTGTATAATTTCGTCGCAGTTAGACACAGGCAGACAGCCACCACACATCCAGGAAAGCGCTAGACGGCCGTTTCGTCCTATTGGGACTCGTCAGTAGCGCGCACCCGCCGAATCCTGCCGGATTCGAACCCACGACCTTACTCTTGCGAGTCAGCGAATTTTGTCACTGAGCCATGGGCGACGGCAGCGGACCGCCATGACTGATATCTAACTGCGATATAGCGCGGCTCATCCTACACTGTCCCAATAGGACGAAACGGCCGTCTAGCGCTTTCCTGGATGTGTGGTGGCTGTCTGCCTGTGTCTAACTGCGACGAAATTATACAAAAACCCAATAAATCCCCCTACTACTTACAAATTTCATGGTGTGTTGCTCGGGGAGGTCCGTACATACAACCAACTACAAGGTGCCAACAAACCGTGACTGTGATATATACTTATAACGAACTTTTCATCATCATCAGTCTTTGTTTCGTGTTTAAGAAGGTTCATTTGCAAAGTACCTCCTGACTAAGTTGGTAGAAAACCATGTTATGTCTCATCGAGTCAATAGTACGAGATTAATAAACCTGTCATCTCGTTTTAACCATTCGTTGTAGTTCCAGACAGTCGGAGTCCGATTTACCAACTTGCAATTGTTCATTCGTTCTCCGAGCTTGGCGCTTTTGTCTCAAACGTTTCACCACCATGCAAGGTAGCATCCTCAGTGCAGTGAGATGGGGCGTGCAATCTTAATGAAACGTTTGCGACAAAACCGTCAAGCTAGGAGAACAGATGAACACTTGTATCATCAACCCGAGGTACCAGTATTCCGAAACATTTTAGGCAAACAGTATGTTGGCCTTTTGCCAAGGGCATTCGATAGTTTAGATACATGCATCTTCTCCCGGGTGCTGAGCACGTTTGGAAGCTCATCCGAAACAGCTTAAAATTAAGGCAATATTGCAGTCGTTTAGACTGTCCACGATATTGCTTCTCCCTCCGGTATAGCGAGCCCTGAAACGCCCTTCCAAATTCAAGTTCTTTATACATCCATTATAAGTGCGCCATGTTAAACTGCGCTCGATCGACCGCCTTCCGTTGCACAGCGAATGACATTAACTTTCCGCCCTCCTCTGTGTGCGTGTGATCAGGTTTGTCTGCGCTTCTGTTGTACTCGGTCTAGTCGTCACCACTCTGCAACCTCACATGGAATATACCATCCCGGTGTGGCATCTCCGGCGCAAATAAGGCCTCGCAGCTCCCTAAACTCCGAAACGAAAGGAAACCAATCATGTTAAGAGCCTACGTCATCTGTCTACGAGCTCATATTAAAATCCCTAGGATGTACTCTGTGGGTATCGGCGCTTCCGAGGGATACTCAAGGTCGGGCGCATCCGTCACACCATGATGTCATACCAAATCCTGATGAATCTCACCGACCTTTGTCGCTCATGCAATTCATTCATAACACCCACCTGGGAGGCCATCAGCATAAGTTTGCCAACACAGTATACCCCGCTATAGTGCCGCATTAACATCTCCCAGTGAGTGTGCTAACTGTGAAATGTTATTCACTGGTACACAATCTCGCTCCACACTGCACTAGCGAATAAACATTAACCTCGTGCGAATGCACTCACCATCATTTCGTTGCATGACCCCAATCTGTTGTATCACTAGCATAAAATATCATCAAAACATCCCAAGAACAATTGGTCACCATTTGCCCCTTAGCAGTTTCGACAGTTTGAACGATACTCAACGTCTAACCCAGTACCGCGACCACTATCACTGTCATTTCGCACTTCTCACGGCAAGGTCGTTAACCTTTGGATGTTAGTCTGCATATGATCAACGCGGCCTTCTCGTTCACACAGACATAGCGTGGTGCGCCGTAGAATTTCATGAGACGTTCCTTGTTATTGATTCCAGCGACACACACAGCGAAACGACAGCGATGGCTGTGGTTAGGTTACTAACCCGCATCGTATCCATTGATCGTGTTTTGGTCAGTGACTTCCTGCAAGTTCTTCTGTTTGCCCATGCAGCATTGTAACGATGGACGAGACTGACATGTTGGCGTGGCCTTTCAACATCGGTGTGCAAATGAGGCCGGTCGAGGTCTGTTTGTCTATACGTCAGTACAGCAGTACCGAGGCCCACTGGTCAGGCATTCGGCCATCAATGCAGTCGTTCACACCCCTATGACCGGGTGAGGGGCATTTTTAGAGATGAACATTTGGCACTCTCGTGCCACCCTAAGGCCTGAAAATTGGTCACCTAAGCATTGGCGTAAAAAGGGACAGCTTTTGTGCAACATACCATACTTATACAACGTTATACCCAGGTGTACTCTGGTGGCACTTTAAGGTAGCAAATGGTATATATGAGACTCCTTTCTAATTGATTACTATGTGATTCAGCAGCAATATTGTATTGGACTCTGCGCTGACCCTTGGTGGAGATTAGCTAGAAGTCGTTCAGGAATTCAAGTACCTGGGCAGCTATATTAGCGTCCGTGGGATCAAAGATGAGATTACGGACCGTATAGCAAAAGCTCGAGGTGTTTTGCCAATCTCCGCCACCTGTAGCGCAGACGCGACATCACTCTCGCCAAGAAAGGCAGAGTTTATAACGTAGCTGTCCGTTCAACCCTCTTATAGGTTGTGAAACCTGGCCCATCAGGTCGACAGACATAAAGAGGCTAGTCACTTTCGACCATCGCTGCCTCCGCAACTTAGCTCATGTCTGGTAAGAGCACCACGTGAGCAGTGAGCGTGTTCGTCGTCGCGTACTTGATTCAGGAAGAGCTAGTGAAGCGCTTAGCGCCATTATATCATGCACCAGGCTCAGATGGCTTGACCACGTGTTGCGCATGCCAGCCCACCGACTCCGGCGACGTGCATTGTTTGCGCGCCGGGGGTGCGGTTGGAAGAGGAGGAGCGGAGGCCAAGCGATGACTTAGTCGAAGTTAGCGTCGGTTGGTACATCCCGACTGCCTGGCTTGGGTCCTAAGGACGATGAACTCGTTTGGTTGGACACACTTGCTGATATGGCTAGGAGCCGACCCCAATGGCGTTTGTGTTGTGACTTCCTTTGTTCATCCCCCTCCTGCTTAGCCTCCTCTCCAATCACGACCTCATTCGTTAGCCATTATATAACTTTCTTTTGGCGGCACAATAGCCAGCTGTTAGCTCTCCGGAACGATATCGATTTGTTACTGGGAACTGAGCTGGCGTACCACTGTTGTTTTTTTCTTCATGTCTTCTGTATTGTTGCACAATGGCTGAGGTTTTTTCCACCTACAGCTAACATGTATAATGATGATGTATCTGGTGGCACGCTTGAAGCTCAGCAGTGTGTTTGTCAACAAATGTCTGCCAGTAACCGCATTATCTAGGATTTTAGTCTGAATACCTGCAGAATGCAAACGATGACGAACGAAGGCATGGAATCCGCGTCTGGTTAAGGAAACTTACCATGTAACTGCTTCACATGTGCGATGCGTCACGTTGGGCGTCGTCGGCTTTCGCTTCGGTATAGAAATGAACTCACTCCTCTTCCTACATGCTTGAGTACTTTTAGCGATGGCGTACGCTTACAATGAGCAGTCGAAACGGTGCGAGATACATATTTGCTCAACCAAGCGTTGGAATTGCGTCTCCGTGAACTCGTTCATGGTACTGACATCCATCAGAATTGTGGACGGTGTGCACTTATTTTCTCTCCCTCTTCTCCATCCTCTGATTTTAGGTACCTATTGCCCAAGTACAGACCATGTGCAAACTGCTAGAGGTACTGCTGACCCACCCCGGAAGTCCACCGATGGACTTGGATCGGAACAAGCTCAATCCGATTTTGGCTATGTCTTTTGTCTTCGCAATGCTGTGGGGCCTCGCTGGTGGTCTAATTTATCCCAACTGGGATTCCATCGATTTGTTCATCCGGAATTTGTTTGACGATTTGGGAGATGCCCGGGTAGGTTGTCCGCTTGGACAGGACAGGTAACCAACAGTCTTAATGACATTGTTACAGTAGCCGATTAGAAAATGCACTGTTGGTCTAGTGTCGGCGCTTTTGCACGCTTCCACCCATTTGGTAACTATATTCTAGTTGTTTTACAATGAACGTGTAATATCGATGCGTGTTTAGATGCCCTGTTATAGTTGCTCCATAGGTAACGTGGCCATTACTAGATTGGTTAGAGGTTCGCAGGTAGTTTGCTGCCATTCACCTCGACCTACCTTGCGTCATTACTCGTAGTTCGGTAGTCATTCGACATAGATTCTAAACTGCTAGATCAAAATCCTTATGACCATTACTTGTTATCTTAGTCTGTTTATCGCTAAGCTTTGCTACTAAACGTGAGCGAAACGTTTGTGCCCATCGGCCGAAGTGTTTCTGTGGCTTGTGAATCATCATCGTTAACCGGATGTTCACGCGCTTAGCATTGGTAGTTCAAACGCACATACGCACACACGCACACTCGCACACACGCACACACATACACACATACACACACATGTCTGCCTGTCCCTCACCCACTCATTGGCGAATTGCTCTCAGCTTTAGGATAGATGCGATGTGCGCCCTATCAGCGCGGCGCATCACGTAGCCTTCGCATCGCTTCTGGCACTAGCCAGTACCACGTTAGAATACCTTAGGTTAGTTCCGCACGCGTAAGCTTTAACACTTCTCATACCCCATAATGGCTGGTCGTTTTCCAACTCAAGGTCAAACGCTTTATACATCAAGGTACATGAGCACTTGACTGTTATATATCAGTGAGGGATTGTGAAGCCAATCCCGCAACAACAAAAGCTACCATAATAGGTGAAACAGAACGTGTACCTATGTCAGTCGGGCAGACGATTGCACATCGAATTGATGACGATCTCTGAGCTAACAAATACACCTTGCATCCAGGGTAAAGAGGAGCGGTGGTACAGTGAAACGCGGGGAAATGTAATTGCATTATGCGTGCGTAGCATTTTCTATAACGCCTTATGTAGTGGGTAGCTAGAGTCAATTGATTTCTTAGATGAACTATACAAGCGCACCAAACTGCGTTCATGCGATAAAACTTATGTGATTATCGCTGCAAAACCCTCTGCGTTTAGAAATTTGTCACTCTATCCAGGCAATCATGTTATGAGCCATTTGGGGAGGTCATAAAAGCAACTGAGGGCTTTTCGAAAATATCCTTGAAACAAAGCAAGCTGCTGGACCAAGTTCTTCCTAGTGATTGAGTTTGTTATCATTCGGACTCTCACCGTCGGACAAGCAAAGATGTTTGTATAAGCCTTGTTTATCGGCGTGATGAGGGAACAGCAGTCGGTATCGCTGAAAGGAAGGCAATGTAATGGGGACTTTTGCATTATCACTAATGCATCGAAAATCCTTTTACTGTGGGAGCTATGCACACCAGGAACAGTCACTATAACATTTTATATTCTATAGTTGTGCGTGGCAAAGCATCACCGAAGGTGCGGAAGTGAACCTATTTTTAATATTTTATTCAATGAACACAATACAATGTTCAGATTTTGTTCTGTTCTCCGAGCTGAACAGTTTCGTTGCAGACGTTTCATCACCAGTCGTGGTGACTTCCTCATAACGCACTGAGGAAGTCACCACGACTGGTGATGAAACGTCTGCAACGAAACTGTTCAGCTCGGAGAACAGAACAAAATCTGAACAGACCACCCGAGCTACAAGTATTCCGACTTATTGCTGACAATACAATGTGTCCAATAGTCACTGGTTAACTTGCTCACATTTTAATGTACGTTATTCTTGCATCACGAACGTGAGCAGTATTGCTCCGCAGGACACCCGGAAGTAGTTGATTAAACAAGAAACGGAGTCTGTATGACCATCTTTGTTGTGAACACTACTGATGCCATACTGTGCACCAGATACCAGATACGGCCGCCGATCTTACATCGCTCGACGCAAACTCAGTTTCTTCATCCATTTCACACTTTTGGTCTCCGAGAAGCTCCCATGCATTTACACAAATGCTCAAGGTCTACTCAGAAAATAAGCTAACTTAACACTTCGACACGCGTCAGCAGCTTGGGACCTCATCACTATCACGGAAACATGGTTGCGCTGGGAGATAACGGCTGCCGAAATGGCCCTAACAGGTATGTCCGTTGTCCGTGTTGTGTCGCTGCTGACGCCTTCACCCCACGACCGCAAGAAGAAGTCCAAAGACGAGCCAGAAAGAGACTTCCATGCATGAAATCACAGTTGCTTATATAGTTTTGAAGCCAAAATGAAGGGAGACTACTAAAGTACACTTGAGCCAACCAACAGAAGGAAAAACGTCAAATGCGACGGCGAATAAGCACCCGTGTACTCAAGAGCGAATCGCATATGTCCTTAAAAATGGCATCATGGGACTCCAAGCCTAAAGCGTATGTCTATTTACAGTGACGGGCACTGGCCAATCAGAATAACGAAATGTAGCGTTTAAACAAATGTCACGAAACAAACGAGAATAAGAAATGCAGACCCAAAAATTAAAATCTAGTACAATAATCATGTGCCAATTAAATATTCCTTTAACATAACCAAATAGAACAGTGATGAGGAGAAACCAATGGAATGTGTTCTTGCAAGTGGCACTGCTGAAAATGACACGACGATAAGTGTCCATTAACAATGACGTGGGTGTACCAATCGGGCTAACCCAGTAGTGTTTGAACAACAGTCAAGAAGTGGAAAATAGGAAGAATAAAGAATGGCTATTAAGTTTGTTCACAATAAATGAATGTCTAGTAGCTATTCTCCTAATAGTCCGGAATGATCGAGTCAGCAAAGGTGGTGTGGTAGCCCACTAGTTTCGTAACAACCTGCAGTGCGAACCCATAAACGGTTCAGCACCCGATGTACCTGACTCCATTTGGTGCAGCTTCCGGCTGAGAGAGAAGGATATTGGCCTTTACCAACCACCATCGTATACACCTGAGACGGACTTCAAATTGGTGGCTGCATTGAGGCAGGTGATAAACAGTAAATACCATCACCTTTTAGTCATTGGCGATTTCAACTTACATGCTGTAGAATCCCAGGCCACAACAGGAGAGCAATTCAAAGCAGACTTGCAAGTTTTTGTCTTAGATTTTTTGCTTTATGGCCATGTCACTTCGCCCACCGGATTCAGGGGAAATAACAGGCCATCCATGCTGGACCGAATATTCACTAATGAAGAACTGGTGATTCAGAAACTGATAATCGACACTCCTCTAGGCCGTAGTGATGATACGGCTTTGTATTTCCTGTACAGAACTCAAACAACACAACCGTAACCAGTTATGACACCTTAACCCGACTCGTTGGAGTGAGCGGCTGGAGTTTCATAACCGAGGATGCACCCGATATTGCCTGGGAACATTTCATCAGTGAGTTTTACACCCTAATTAATGGTGCATCACAAACCAAGGTTAGCATTTCAAGAAAGCTGAGGTCGTTTATACGGAGTAGAACTTGCAAACGCATGATGATGCCCAACGCGGTGTGGTATACCCACCAAACCGATCCGAGTGCAAGTACCTGGAAGGCATCTGTTGTCCACCGTAATCACTGTATCCAATTAGTATGCGCGGACAAATTAGCTTATCAACATGCTTTAGCCGAACGATTAACTTCAAATTCTAAACTTCTGTACAAGCATGTGAACAGTCTTTTCAAGGTGAAAAGTGGATTTCCCCCGCTTCAAACAGCGGACGGTCTAACTCGGACGGCTAATGAAGCGTCGAATATTCTGCAACAACAATATACACCAATGTTGAGTTGCATCCCGTGGTCTTCTGAATCTTTGGAATCTATGGTGCCCACACCAAGACTCAATTATATAAATTTCACAGTAGACATCGTGATGAGAGAGCTGCCATCCATGCGCCTGCACGTCTGTCCAGCAATTGACGACACCCGCTCAAAGACGCTTGCTGAGGCGGCTACTATCTTGGCTGTACCTTTGGCGTGGCTGTTCCAGCACTACCTTGACGAGCGGCACGTTCCTGCAATGTGGAAACACGGAATAATAACCCATTTACAAAGGTTGTAGTCCTTCCGACCCAGCTAATTATCCGCCAGTGACTCTACTGCCAGGTTCTTCAAAGGTTATGGAGACTATCGTTGCCGACGCACTCATGTCCTATCTAAACGGTTGTGGTTCCATTGCTCAGCAGCAACACGGCTTCCGCCGGCATCGGTGGTGCACAATCAAGTTAGTGTTAGCACGAGACAGCTGGACCCAACCTGTGGATGCTAGTGCAGGAGATGATGTGGCTTACATTGATTTCCCTAAGACATTCTTCGACTGGCTGGACCATCGTATCCTTCTAGCCAAACTTCAATTATGTAGTATTGGGAACCCTCTGTTCAGGTGGATTTACAATTTTCTCTCGCACGTGCGTCTGGAGGTGAGAGTCCGTGAATCTCTGTCAGACCCAATTCATGTCAAACGCGGAGAACCACAGGGTTCGGTACTGCCCCCCCCCGTCTGTTCTTGATCTTCATAAACCATCTAGTGGGTAAATTGCGTCAAATTGTTTACTCTACGCCGATGACACCACAGTTTGACGTGTGAGCAGAGCTCCAGGTGACGGTGTCCAGCTTAAAATTGACCTTAACAAGGTCCATAGATGGTCGGTTCAAAATCTTCTTTCCTTCAATGTGGCTAAGTGTCGAGTGCTCCATTTAAGACATCGATGGTTCACACATATAAGCTGGAGGACCAGGATCTGCATCGCTGTTCTCTCGAGAAGGATCCCGGTGTTTTGGTCCAGGAAGATCTCGCCTTCTTGCAGCAGTCCAAAAAGGCATTGAAGAAGGGGATCCAAATCGTGGAACTTTTACAGAAAGCTTTCTAGCAATTCGAACCATCGATTTTCCGTCAAATACTTTCCGCTTATATAAGCTCTCATGTTGAATATGCAATTCAAACGTGGCAACTGTGACTAAAGCCTGATATTACGGCCTTGGAGCTTCCAAAATATCGGGCGACCAAAAATGTCAACTGGCTGCTCCACTTGTCACACGAACAGCGCCTCAGAAGGCTTGGCATTCTCAGTGGACGTTATCGCCGTTTCCGTAGGGATATAATCATGCTCTACCAAATAGTAAACCACACTCCTCACCTCTGCCATCACCTATTGAACCTGAATCAAAACAGCCAACTGAGTGGTCATCATCTCAGATTTGCAGAACAATACAGACGGTTGGAGTGTCGAAGAAACTTCTTCTCGCTCGTGTTTGCCACACGTGGAATACCCTCTCAGAAGCTGTTATTTCAGCCCACACGTTAGGCGTATTCAAATCACGTTTCGACAGTGGTCTGGCTATACTACGCCATATCAGGTAATCCAAACGACTCATACAAACATCAGATAATCAAAAACAAACCAACCAAACTCTATTTTTGTCCGGAAACCACGGACGATAACCTTGGCTAGTGCATACAACGGACGGGAACGCTGTAATCGGCAAATTCGCACTTTGTAGTGGTTCACTATTTCCTATTGCCATTTTTACCTTTATTTTGCTCACTGGGCCTGACATGTCAAGTTTCGGGTTTTGTTCTCCGTAATATACCATTGACCAATGACCATTTACTTTGGATTATTGAGGTCTGTAAACCAGCCCACTTACATCCTCTTTTCTTGTGCCAGTAATGACCAACTGCTGCTAATCGCCTTCAGTTGCCTAAAGGTATATGAAATCCATCGGTACTTTTGTGAGCTCTTCTTTCTGTGCTGATGTTATCCTGTCTTGTCTCCATACCTTTTCTAGCGTACTGATAATTGTACGATTGATTAGAATATCCGTCAAATATAAGGTGAGACCATAACCACATTCCCTTAAAATTGGTTAAAGCATTCTTTCATTAGTCTTACCTAAATTTACCACTCGCAATTTATTTCATATATTACCATCTAGGCTTCTAAGCTTCGAAATCGGGTTTTTATAAAGCTTCCACCGTACATAATTTCCATACTACTCCAGTTACCACAGCACGGTGATCTTTGGTCATGTTATGTGGATTCGGAAACACGTCGCATGGATAGCTGGGAGAAGATGCTGAGCCCATTCACTTATCAAAAGAAGGTCCCTTTTTTCGATATGATTGTGCCCACAGTGGATACGGTCAGATTTGGCTACCTATTTGATAAGCTGCTGGCAGCTCATCAGAGTGTGCTGTTCACTGGACCGACAGGAGTGGGAAAAGTAAGTCACTATGAAAGTGCACTGATGCATCACCAAAAGTCTCTGAACTTTTATTACAGAGATTCTAATTTACAACTACGCATAGTGGTGAAATGGATCTACAAAAAGCCAAAGATGCATAGCTTAGATCTTTTAGAAGATTGCTCACCGTTCCTAAAACATCTCGTCATGTCGAGTACGGAACGTGGTTTTATTATTATGATTATTATGATTATTATTATTATTATTATTATACATTTGTCATTCTAGTTGTACCACAGCGAATCATCTGCTGACATTAGTGCTACACCACTACCAATGGCGATGATGACGACATAGTGCGCTTTTATCCATCCCTCGTCGTAAGCGAGGGATGCGACCCTTTGACTTTTCTCTGTCAACGCACGTAGCGTTATCACCGGCCGACAGACCGCCGTTTTCGTAACGGATACTCGCATACTGCGGAGGTTTTGTCCCAACCGACTTGACTGCTTCCCGAAATTGTCACACACTCTACCTTGAGGGCAGTCATTGCCTCACAAGACGAGAGCTGCAGGTTTGTGCTTTTCAGATGGCTAAGGGGATTGTGCGATTCGAAAGTGCGCTAACAGGGTGAAACAACGCTCTTGTTCTTTTCCAGGACTATCTGCTTCAACCTGGTGGGGTTCGCTGCGGGATAGCATCTCTTGAAGTTAATCAGAACTCCGCTAGCTCTATCTTAAACGCGTACTAAGAGTTGCCCTTTCTTCAAACCCTGTAACTCACACATCCAAACTCCAGTGCTTATGATACACGGTGCCAGGCGCTTGATACGCGTGTTTGTGTACTGCCTACTATTGATCTGCCTGCCACTGCGATTGAGTGGTGATTTCGGCTCCGCATCTGTGCGACTCGCACAACTTTATCTTGCGCAGGGTAAAATTGTTCTTATTGTTCACCCGAATAAGCATCTTACTACGCAGCTGTGTTTTCTAATTTCGTCTTGGCGCAACAGGTTAGAAACCGCTATTCGAAATCGCTCTGTTTTGGTACTAACTGATCATACTTGCGTCTCATTCCATAGAAAGAATTGGGGACTACCATATGCTTATGGTGGATAATTCGATTAACTCCAACGAGTCGACACCAGTATGTTATTGCACGCTGAAGCTTACTACCGGAATGTCATACTTTGGGTTGACATAACTAGTACGAACAGGATAACTAAGGGCAACACTTCCGAAGAGACCCGAAAGTGAAACTATGCCAATCTATGAAAAAGTACGAACGTGTTGGCAAATGTAAAGATTAAGCGCAAATTGCACGAAGTTTAAAACCGGGGTGTTATCGGTTCTTTATTACGTTGTGTTGCAGTGTCAGTAGAGCTGACAATGCTAGCTCAACTCTGTCGGGAACATGCGACATTGCTAATGCTGCATCGTGGTTTCAAATTAGATCCGAAAACACAAGCTCTGGCTCTGATGATTTCTGAGGAAACATCCTGTCACAAAATTAAAAAAAACACGTCTGTTGCTGGATATAGCCCCTCAAATTTGAAAATTACCTGATGGTTGTCTACGTCTGCCCCCCCCCCCAAATGATTTTGCGAATTATCACTCCAGCTGTGCATAAACCCAAATTACCGGTAACTCCAATAGACCTCGTATAATGTTCCACACAATCTGAGTAATCCGGACATATGCACTTTAGTACTAAGCGAGGTGATAAGAAATAGCGTCACTGTAGAACGCTGCCCGTCTTCATACAATCCTGAGCTAGATTCCGAGACTATTAGACTGATGATTATCGATCCACCAAACATTCGTACTTTCATTGTTTTCATACTGGCTTCCTCTGAGATGTTTGGTAGGTGAGCAGATCATTGCAAGGCATGAACTTGCTACACTAACTGATCTGCTCGCTGTCCAGTCGCTGGATCTTGCTGCCTTAAGTGGCACTTCCGCCTAATGTAATTTGTTTCCTCAGGAATAGTTAGTGCACGCAGCGGAGGTCTGTGCTTATATTTATTGAGTTATTCTACTGAGCACCTCCGTTTTAATTCACTCAAACTGGTGTCTTCCTTCATCAACACGCCTTCTATGGTTTATAATGGCTTCCAATGGCTAGTTCATGCTCCTGGGCTCTTGTCGAAAACTTTTCACCTATCTAACCCACTTGACTTTTTATCCAACTGTAGATATGATCTAATGTACAAGACATTTCGACGTTCTGGAATTTAAGGTTTTCTATTTACCCGTGATTACACTGCACTAAGCTTTTCCTTTTAAATGAATGTCACAAAACAGAAGCAAATAATGACCTCATGGTTAACGATGCTATTTTACAAACTACCATTGGAGGGTGCAAAGCTCATGTTCTAGGTCGCTTTCCTCTGAACTTCCTTCCCGCTGCTTATGCCTGTTCTCATCGGCTTCAGAGTTCATTGTTTATAGCAACTTACAAACCCACTTCCTACATGCACATTCTGTGATGTGGATTATCATTCTGTTTTAAAGTCAGTGGTCGCTCGGAGCACATTGAACGATATCGCAGCAGCCAGAGACTATGCTCCTGTCTTTCTGAACTTCTCCGCACAAACCAGTAGCAATCGAACCCAGGAAATGATTGAGGCCAAATTGGAGAAAAAGCGGAAAGGAGTACGCGGAGCTCCGAAAGGCAAACGTGTCATTCTCTTCGTCGATGACTTGAACATGCCCAAACAGGATTACTACGGGAGTCAAGCTCCGATAGAACTTCTGCGGCAGTTTCAAGATTACCATGGATTCTACGATCGAGACAAATTGGAGTGGATTGAAATTACCGACGTGACGTTATCCGCAGCCTGTGGACCCCCAGGCGGAGGTCGGAATCCGGTATCGGCTCGTTTGATCAGGCACTTTTCCGTGCTTTCGATTCCACCGTCCTCTGAAATCAGCATGAAGCACATATTTACCTCAATACTGAAGGTGGGTTATAACCGTTTATTACACCCTTCGAACACCTACGTACAAGTTTGAATGATGGGTCATCACGTTCGCCGGCATTTACAATGGGTGTCTTTTATAGAATGGTGAATTTTGCTCAAAATTCCCCGATTTGAAGCTGCCTGTATTCTTCAGTAGGTAGTTGTGTTGCTTCATACTTGGATCCATTTAAACATTCGATTCTGATCATCCAGTTTTTACATGTCTTCACCCAGCACAAGTGCATTTTTATACCCATTTTAGGCTGTCTCTCAGGATAAACTAATGTGAAGAACAGGGTATAAGGTCGAACACTTTGCCTTGTGTACTAGACTTACTCCACTCACTATGGTTTATGATTTATGGATTGAAGAACCCAACCTTTGGGGAGGCCGATGCTGACCTACCCCTGTGAGAATCCCCTATAGAAGCGTCTTTTCTTGGCTACGATTTTGGCAACTGGTGCTTGTTTCAAAACACAGAGGTCGTTGAACAGTGGTTCATGAAATTCCTTCGCTTAGCAACTCACCTTTATACACTAAGGGGTGTGCGATTTGTATTCAAACCTGACTGCCACATAAGAGATCCCAGCTCCTTTTTAGACAGTAAAGTGGTATCACTTAATACTACTCCATAGAAAGTAGTTATCACTCCAGCTAGGTTATAACACCAATGAACGATGGTGGCCCAGAGAAGGTCACATCTCTTTGACCCAGCCCTGTACGCTTCACCACTTGCCTTGTACCACACTTGGCTAAAAGCGGTGGCACTCGCCCGCCTTCCGTTGCTCAGTGCACTTACTCGCTGACTCAGAAAAGGAAGGTCGTGAATTCCCCCCCCCCCTCCTACTGAACGAAAATATAACTGCCGATGTTATAAAGTGCGAAGCGACCGTTTAATGACGCTGTTGCAGACGGTTAGGGCTTACCTGACTGAGTGCAACTGCTCATCTTTCATGGAACTGATAATAATAAGGTATATTTCTCGTGCTACCGAGAAACCGAGCACTAATCCTTGTACTAAATGTATTGGCAACTCTTCGACCATATGTACGATGTTACTGGAAAGCAGCGGCAACTATCCAACATCATAATCCGAATTTAGGTATTTTACGTCTTCTCATTAGTTGTTTACCGATAACCAGTGGAATCAGTCGGTGGCACATAATGGTAGAACAAAGCGTAAAATCGTTTGGTTTAAATGTAGGTAAGCGATAGCCTCATTAGGGCAAAGTGCGGGTAGACACGAACTCCGACTGCTTACGTACATTGGGGTTTAACTGAAGCATTGCTTCAAATTGCAGTAGACTAGAAGTGTTCTGTAGGTTAATAGTCATGAACTACTCTCGCGGATGTTGGCATGTAGGGCAATCAATATACACCAGATGATGGAGCTATCGGATAGATTTGGACTTACTGCCGCCAGGTTACGGGTAACATGTTTTGAAATCCCCGTGGTCAACTTCCTCACAGCTCGGCCTACATGCCTCCTACCACAAGTGCAATGAAAGAGGTAGATGCACGAGGCGGTACCATAGAGTCTGGCCTGTACACGTCGGATTTGCAGAGGAAATTTTTGACTTGGTGCAGCAGTAATAGCTCGGCCGCATGATAGTCTTTCTTATGGGACTGGGGAAAGGGTATCGAAATCGTCTGTCATTTTGGTCCTCTTTGAATGGGAGCTTCGGGAATGCATTCTTCTTAGGGACATGAACCATACGTTTCTCAATTGCTTGCACGCTTGAATAGCTCGCTAGGAATCCCTCGAGATACTCGTTTTCCCGCAGTGTTGCCGAGATGTGTTGCAACTAACTGTCCGCTGACACTTCGGTTAACAAAATATAGTGTTTGAGGACGCGAATAGTAAGAACTGAGTCTACAGCAGTATCTAGTGATATTCACTTTGTTTCCACTTAACTTCCAAAACCAAGTGTTTCCTTGCATAATCACTACGCGCCGTTATTTGGTGTTCACCTAGCCTACCTTGTGTAAGGCGAGATTTGGATGAGCATTTTACACAAGACCGTGCAGCGGATTGCTTGTCTTTACTTGGGCACACGGACGCAACTCTCGGTGATCCTCGATGACCCTCAAAAGTGGCTTCAGACGTTCGGATACTTACAACCATTGGAATCAGCTGTCACCGACCATGTTAGTAAACTACTCTAGTCGCCCAGACCATAGCATCAATCTTACCGTTTGACAAATGCTCATCGGTAAGAGAATACTAACATACGTAAGCCTACAGTCTTGCCTCAAAAGTCTGTGAGTTGATACGTGTTTTTCAGGCATCGTCTACAGAATTACGGGTTCGATTGTGCTGCTAATGGACTAGGTCTTACGTCACATATCGAATGACATCCAACGCGAATTTGGTGGTCCAGATGCTTAATAATCCTACTATACGACTGATGGTGTTACACTTTAACAGCCCTTATGTAATCCATTGTAAGATGACCAAATAGACAGGAAACCAACCGACCCCTGTCTGAGACAGCAGTAGAACTGGAAGTATTAAGCAAGTAGTTCCCTTTATAATTCCAAACAGAAAAAGCAGTAGGCGTAGTTTATGAGATGATGTTGCTCTTCTGTGCATTCTTACCAATCACCAACATGCACCTAGAAGTGCTTCCACATGAAGATTTGGTACGACACTGGCGACGTTGTCTGGATAGAGATGTGATGTGAAGAATAGTAGAACTTTAATGCACAGTCCAACTTTGAATTGTTGATGCCATCACCTCCCCGTCTGCCTACTGGTCGCGGAATCTAGTCCAACAGCAAGCCTACCATGACACTAACATGTTACGGCGGCAGCGGTTATCGTGTCAGACTGCACTTACTCTTCCACCTGGTGTGCGGAATATCCACAGTAAATGTTTTCTGGGCCTAAATTTGGGGCTACACATCAATATCCTGCGGAGTGAATGGACAATTTTCTGAGGGTTTTTTCTCTCCGGACCACATGAAATTCATCAAACTATGACAGATGCAGTTAATGGGATTTTAAACAGGAATGATGTTACCTGAAATACGGGCAAATGTGGTATTCAGCACAGGTGACTAAACGAAGCACACCAGACACGTTGCAATGAGAGTACATACATTCTGGCTGCTGAGTCGTATTCATACACAACAGCGCCGTTGTTGTGCTTTAAACCAAGCAGCTTTCTTGGCACTGATTCAGTCAAACAAAGTAGTAGAACTGATTGGATCTCGGTAAAACCAATCTCGCTCTGCTTCGATAAAAATCAAATGATTGTTGATCGCCTTGGCTTCAGTAATGACATTACACCTTGTTCGTTCTTGTGTGCCATGTAATTATACATTGCAGACTACTTGTGAGAAACTTAATCGCTGACGATTATAGTTAGGGCAGCCAATTACACAGGACATTTGCTCCACATTCCATTAACCGGGCAGTTCATTCCATTTGGCTACTTCCATCACGTGCTCACTGTGCATTGTTTGAAACTGGCTACCACCATAGTTTATGGCAAACAGATTCTCAAACGCGTAAACGCATTTGGACTGAGCCACTTGAGTCCATTCTTCTTTAGCACTAATTAAACCTGCTGAGCAATTGACTAATATGTATCATACTTGGGATTTTCTTCCCCGAGGAAACAGTAAACTTGTCTACCCTGATGTTCTAGGGCGCAAAAGAATTAAGTAGTTTTAAGAGTGAGGTGTAATTCCAAATTTTCTTAAGCATACGCTTAATTAGTCAGTATAATTTTTAGGAAGAAAAAGTATTAAGAATGACACGTTAACGGTTTTACGGGAGCAACTTTACAACGTCATTAACCAACTTGAGTTGGAATCAACTAGTACCGACGTTTTGTACCCGATGATGTTTATGAAGCCGGAAAAAGGCGTGCTTTGTTCGTCTCAATTATTTTCCGCTCGCAAACTCATGAACATGGACTGATTCAGCGCTGATTGTAGTTCACTTTCGATCACCGTTTATCAGGGTTTCTTCCGTGATTTCTCGCAAGCCGTTCGAGGGGCAGTGGAGTCGGTTGTGTCGGCTGCCGTCGAAATTTACACACGGATGGCTAGTGATCTGCTGCCAACTCCGACAAAATCTCACTATGTTTTCAATCTCAGAGATTTGTCGAAGTGTATTCAAGGTAAGAACCTTACATGCTACCTTATATCTTATGCACCATGGACACATACATCAGCTTCTCCTTAATGTTGCCAAAATGGTATCCGTACTGACGTTGATGCCACATACGCAATGACTTCTTTTATGACTTCTTTTATCAGAGGTAAAATCACCTGTCACTCAGTAACTGCTGTTCCCTAACTTAGTTGGCCATCTGTGATTTCGGTACCAAGAAGACCAAGTGGATTATTTGTACTAGGGTAAGCCCTCTTGCTCCAGAGAACCGAGTCTAGCCTGTGGATGTTATGCAGACATAACAGCCGGCATCTGCTTCGGCATTTTGTGTAGGTTTTTCATCTCTGGTACCAGTAAACCATGTGACGCAGAATTGGCAAGAAGAGTATGTCCATCAAAAACAGCGACTGGCTACTAGCGTCCTAAGCCACACTGGATGTTTTGTACATCTGGTACCACTTGACCAATAGATGAACGGCGAATACAACTTAACCATGTGCTGAAGAAGTTACGCACTTGATTATGAGGAACTCACTATATAGAAAGGCGGAAGCCAACAAGTACTCGAGAACCGAAAATATCCACGAAAACGGGTAGCAGGGAATTACCAACTGGCGCAATGGATGAGACGAGACAAGGCAATGCGAGCCTTGTGGATCGAGCCGACAGCAGGTCACAAGCGACGTCTGGTAACGAGCCTGTGCCCAGAACAACCGAGGAGGAATTTGTCGAGAACGCAGGGAATCAGACACAAATACACCGCTAGAGAGGTCCAGAGGACTGAACGTGGGTCGAGTGATGCAGCCACTGGAGAGCAAATCACGAGCTTTCGAACGGCTCCTAGCTGGGCAGAATCGGATCAAGCGAAGCTGAGATAGGGGATGAAAACTTGGACGGATTGTTCCCAGGCTCAAGCTCGTATGGCACATGAACAATGAACAATGGAAAATGATTTATCACGGGATAAAAGCAAGTGCTTGACACGTCCCGTGGGATGGTTGAGGTGAATATGATGAAATCAAAATATGTCTGGGTCATCTATCGAACGTCTGCCGAGATGAATAGTTTGATAATTAATATCAGTGTAAAATTAAAATAAATTAGCGAGCATGAACGTTCAGAAAGACACTGGGGTGCAGTGATAGTTGAGATAAGGAGTGAGGAAATAAAATATAGTCGCTCACTTAGGTCCATTTGGTACATAAGTCCTGTTGAAAACATGCTTGGCGTAATCCACAATAGAGGAGCTAGGTAACAAAATGTTGGGAGCTAAGAGCGACATCTAATCGTTTTTTGAAAACATCCAAGGTAGGAGAGGATACAACTGAGTCTGGGAGTGCGTTCCAGGGTTTGCAAACCCGAAGGGAAAAGTAATTCCGTCGACACTCTAGACGGCTGTATTGTTCCTTCAATTTTAAGCAGTTACCCCTGAGCTGCGTGTTGTGGCTGAGTTTCAGCAAATGGCGGCATACGTGGTTGGGGTCACTCAGTATCTCATGGGCTAATATGAGATCGCCGCGTAGCCTTCGATAGCGCCCGCTGAAAATTCCCAGCAACTTCAGCCTTCGGTGGTAAGAGTGATAGCGCAGGCCCATCACGTTCTTTGTTGCTCTTCGTTGTGGTGCCTCTATCGCTTCTAGGTCACGCTTCAACCAAGGTTGCCAAGCTTGGATAGCGTATTCAACATGCGGGCGCACGTAGGAATTGTGCATCATTGGGAAGATTGATGGGTCAAATATCCCGAATGCTCTTCGCAGCATGCCGACGTGCTGGTTGCCTCTTTTCGCAGCTACCTCAGCCTGTTTTGATTAGTTGTGGTCGCTCTGTACGATCACACCAAGGTCACTTTCCTAGGAGCTATTCTGCAATCTGTTTGTCCCGAGTAAATAGGTGTAGTTATATCTATGGCGTAATTGTACAACGCGACATTTGTCTACGTTGAACGGTAGGGCGTTTTGAACTGACCAGTTTGACACTGTGTTAAGATCGCACTTTAGCCGTTCCTGGTCGTCCGGTCCTCGGATCCTTCGCCATATCTTGATATCATCAGCGGAAAATAGGAAATCGGAAGTAATTGATCTCGCCAAATCGTTAATGAACACCAAGGTTAGACGAGGTCTAAGAACGGAGCCTTGTGGTGCTCCACACGCCACATCGATTGCATGAGAAAATGTAATGGTCCGTCCCCCAAATCCGTAATGGGAAGGAAACGCGGTCCATATCTGTACAGGATTGAGAGTGGTCAGTTGCACATCGTTGTTGTGACAGTACACGTCCTGCTCCCTCCCGCGTCGTTCTGGTTGCAATTACTAGCGTTTCGTGTGTGCTAGTGGCTGATGAACCTAGCCAGATGACCGAATTTTTGATTAGGCAGCAAGTGTCCAGTTACGCATAGCCTGGGCATTTGTCAATCATTTTAAAAGCTGGTAATGTTCACTTAAGTTTGGTGGTTGGCGAGCGATTGGTTACCACTGGTGGTTCGCCGGATACCTTTCAGTCAATGCCGGAGTGCAGAGGACGTGATACAATGTATCTAGGGCTTAATTTGCAGCTGCGCTCCGATTTTTCGTTCCTGCTCTTGGATAGATTTGGGTGCCTTTGTAATGTTCCGGCTCGGTTGAGACAACTTGATGATACGGGGCAGCAAGTCTTCAGAACGAGTTATTGATTTCCTGCTGTTTTACTCAGTATAATAGATATTGTCTACAAGGACAATAAGCCGATCAAACTTTTGGAACTCTCTATTCATCACGGCTCTGATGGTATGTTAGATACGATGCTCATATGATATGCAGATGGCAATCCGTTTGGTTGCAAAGCCTTTGTAGCCTATTACTTGATGGAGGTATTCTAAGGAATTGGGAACCTACTGCTGTCACTCCCGTACGATAGTGGTTCACTTCGGGACGTTAAAAAGCAACCGCCCATTGATATCGAGCACAGCTGGGAGAATTTCACGTAGCAAAACATGATTCCCTTTTTAGTTCATCAACCAGTATGGCGCAAGACAAACGTTAACATCCTAATCATGCGATACCTGGCCGAAAAGCCTAATACTCAACTTCGAAAACCCCGTCGATATTAAGCATCAATTAGCGGCGACATTTCTCCTTCGGTAATGAGCGTTTGATCAGGCGTTGCATGGCAACCTGTTAAATATACTGTTCTCTCTGGCATTTCTGGTTCACTAATCGCTTAGAGGGCTTTGCACCATTCAACTTGAACATAGTTGGTGCGAGTGTGTAACAGAATGTGGCAATCGCAACTTGTTTCGAGTGGGTTGACTCACTGCCGTTTGCACTGCGCACATGTGACGTAATTGCTAGCAGTCGCAACAGAAAATCTAACCCCTTAGATGCAAGGCACAAAATTTTCGCCCTGTTGCTTCGCTTTACGCCAAGATGTTGAAACCGATGTCCAAGCCGACCTGATCCCTTTTGAATTATTGTGGAGGTAAGTGGAGGACTTGGTGTGTATGGTGACCAAGAGAAACATTTATATAGTGTCCTTCAAGGGTGAGTTTGTTGTGCTAAGGACGACTAAGCGTCTTTTCTCCGCCACGCAGTTACAGTGATGCTCAAGTTGTGGTCATTAATCGAACTCATAGTTTGCCGGTGTTTCCCACGAAGGAAGTTCAGCCAATCGGGCTCAAATCACACAGCATATTGCGGAGCCAGTTGCATGGGCAGAACCGATAGGTCTGACTTTCCGAATAAAAAGTACTATGGTGGCTTCAACGTGAAATTGATCAGCATCACTCCCTCCCTGAATTTCCTTGCTCGCGCAGGCCGCCAACTTCCGCAATAGGTAAACATTTACTGGTTACGCTTCACCGGATATAGATTGGATCAGCGTTCACATTTGTGTTACATTACCATTATCTCCGTTTCCACCGTTTCACCGAGGCTGCCGCAATAAATTGTATGAAGCCGACACTGCGTGTGTAAAATCAATTAAGTGTCCGCTTAAGAATGCCCTATACACAGCGGCAGAAAGACTGTCATTGATTTTGCACCTCAAATTTGTTTGGTCACACCCACAGTGTTATACAGCTGCATATCGACTACTGTCAATGGTACTAAGAAGACATTAGGAAGTGCATACATCTACCAGATTTCGTCTTCCGTGCTTTGCAAAGATAAGGAAACCGAGGTAAAATTTTAAGTAGAACCGACCTAAAAGGGAGCTAGTAAATAGTGTCTAAAATTAAAGCGTGGGCAATGAAAGCGGTTAAGCGATACAAAAAGCATCCATTCAGGGGAGGAGTGTCTCAACGTGTCTACCGTAGAGCACGAGTCTGGCCCATATCCGATAGCGTTTCTATTTAGGTGTGCTCGCAGTCCTTATGTCCCCAAATCAGGAGTTGGGAACGCTCTGCTGCGATCAAATGTTATGTCTTCGCCTTGACATCCGTTGATTCCACTCAAAACCGGTGCACGCGCAGCAACACCTGAACAGGGTTACGAAGGGCACACTCGAGACAGATATACATCTCAGTGGAAGGCAAAGTCTAGCTGACTTCAACCAATCCTTGGTAATGTTGCTAGTAACTGGTTTGGCTAATTAGCTTTTCTCGAGTATCCTGCACTAACCAGACAGTATTTCTATGTTTCTTTAGACCTGGCTATATGTCTGGTGCAAAGGCGCTTTGAAATACACAAAACCAAACTGTTTACCGTCTGTCCCTGCCGGCTGGTAGTCGTAAAGATCGCAAGCTTGCCTTGTAATCCGAGGGCGCGAGTTCCAGCCTGCATAGGGACCGGGAGACTCTCACAGCACCCTTAACCCACGTGGGTGACTGTTGGTGGTTATGCGGCAATGAAGCGTCGGCATTGTGTACCGGCGTACTGCTGATGCCTTTGTGCATGTATGTAATACCGTACCCTTTCACCGCACAGCTCCTGCTTGGCCGGACCGTATGTCAGTTCATACGCTTATAATAGACTTACCCCTGCGTCATTGGTCATACTGTAAGAAAACGAGGTGCGGACGGTGTGACTAAATGTACCAAGCAGCATGTACTAGATGCATCGGTTCGGGCCAACTAAACCTCTACCCATCTACGCACTCCTTGTTGGAGGTTGCATGGCGTGCCTTGCTGCTGTGTCTAGTGGTTACGTGACGCGCATTGCTTGTTTCCATTCCTCCCGCACATACGTCTGCGGTTCCCAAGTGTTTCTTTTCTTTCGGGGAGTCACTATGGTCTGCTGTTGGCCCAGTGCCGCTTAACTTCTTTGTCTTCCTATCCTACTGATAACTGGTGCAGTAGTGTCTGCTTTTAAGCCATCACAATATTGTTATCCCCATCTCATCAGTACACCGTTGAATTTACCGTTTTGTCAGGCATCCTGCAGTGCGATACAAGCACGGTTCGAGACAAGAAGTCCTTGATGCGTCTATTCCTTCATGAGGCTCAGAGAGTTTTTCACGACCGCTTAATTAACCGGGAAGATAAGCAGTTTTTCAATGAGATCCTCGTAGAGATGACCTCGAAACACTTTGGTGAAGTGAGTACATACCACGATTTTCTCCAATTCTCATTTAAGTAGTTTACTCTGTTTTGCAAACGATATGTATGCTGTACGCTATCGGCCCGTCCCCAGGTTGCGGATTGTGGAATGCCTTCCTTATGAAGGTAACTGTGAATAAGTCTCGTTTGCCTTGCAGGCGAGATGAATAATCAGTCGCGGATACTCAGCGGCAGCGTCTCAGAGCGTGGGGATTTCTGGGCTGGTCACCTGATTCTCCATCACATACCACAAGAGCTCGTAGGGCGCTGTGTCAAAGCCAATGTGACCGGCTATAGGGTCACTGACCACTCACTTCTGTAACCAGAGGGGAGTATATAACGGAGAGCGGATGAACAACCTTGCTGACCACCGGTTTCTCTGTGGACTGCTACTGAGCACAAAGAAGGCGAAGGAGCCACCTGGATGTCATCGGTGTTCGTTAATCGCCCCGCTGCTTTGCGGGTTAGGTCTTTACGACCAAAGGCTCGGGGTGGGGTCCCTTACGTCAACCCTCTTCCTGGGCCTGCGCAACCGGGAAGATCTCTGCCCACACAACACATTAACCTTCTAAACTTTCCAAATCACTGACTACCCGTTTCTATCCTTTTCTTGTTGCTAAATATGTGTTGTGGCGCCGCCAACTATACATTGGTCAAGTGTTGAATAATAATAATAATAATATATAATACTAATATTGATACGCCTGCTCAGTTGGGGGTAAGATTCCAACAATTTCCCATTTGAAAGCCCACTAAGGGAATGTCTGGTGCGCGAACATAGTTAACTTGTTTTTATGATGCAACCAGCATTGTAACATGTTAATTTTGCCTCCCCTTACCAAGTGCCCATTGTGTTTGCTCTAATGGACGAATTCTCGTGTTTCGTATGCAAGAGCTAACTTACTGACTGCGCCCGTAATCTCTAAATCTTCGCAGTCATCTCGCTGTGTCTTTGCTTGTTAGGTTACCTAACACCATACACTCACAAAGTTTTCACGCAAGTAACCGTTCACTCCTCAGAATTTTCCGTTCTTACGATCTACATGATACTGAGAAGCAACAAACTACTCCCACTAGTATTACTATAGTTATACACAAATTGTACTATATATCGTTATATAGCATGACGCACAAGCGTGAAGCCAGTCAGAGAGAGCGGACAAGTAAAGCCAACAAAAACTGAACAAATATGGAGCCAATCAGGTGTAAACAAAGAACGGGAACTGAAAGTGTTAGGGTCGGACTAGGGCTGTGATCTGAAGGCAAAAATAACGACTCTAAATAGCCAATAGGGGTAGCAAACTGATACACTAAAACAAACCACAGTGAACCACCAGAGCAAAACGAAAGTCCGAAGTCCTAAACGGCTAGATAAACATACCTGTATTTTTACTGCTCCTCTAACAATAATAAAAAGATCCGGTGCGTTCTGCGCCTGTATAAAGGGATCTATTTTATTTTCCTGCAACATTTTTACTTGAAGTTTCACATAACAGTTTGGTGGAACGCTACCGCCCATCTGAACTTCTGACGAAAAACCGGCTTATTCTCACACACAATAAGCAGCCGTTTGTGTACCATGATAGCCAGATGTTTGTAGATTGCTCCTGAACGTTGGCTTCATTCTTCACGATCCCAGCTTAGGGCTACACTGCTCTTATCTTTCAGTGATAGGACCATCCCATGTCTTATGGTCCAATGACAGTGAGGCAGCTGCCAAAAGTACAAACTTTCCTCTTGTTGTTGTGGACGTACCCATCCTTATATCGAAACAAAGTCTGAGCAACGATAACAATACGTCGTTTGTAAAGGAAAGCATCATTTGCATATTTTTTATTGGTTCGTAATTTTCTGCTCTCTTCAATCGACTTCTGCTCTGTTTGTGTTATTCTCTTCAAACCATGCTTAGACGCATCGGCACTGCTTTGTCTGTCTATCCCAGAGCACATGTTTCATCTGCTGGTGGCTGTTCGAGCCAATCTGTTTCGTAATTGTTCTGGACAAAGCACAGCTTTGTTCCTTTTAGGCTGATCCGATCCGGATGCCTTCCACTGTCGATTCCACGTGTGACCAGTTTTCGTCGACAGTGGCTGATTGGCCTCCTACCTGTCTACAATTTGTCGGTCCATTTTGCTCAAACCAGCAGGTATTCCCACAGCCGGTGACGTGAATGGACTCTAATTGGCTGGTGACATATCCGCGGGCACATCAGCCTGACAGTTTGGTTGAGAATTTTGAATGATGATTCATATTATTTGTTCTATTACTGTGGGGGGGGGGGGTACTGACGCACATGAACGCACTAGAAATGCTTGTTGTAATATTTTCAATACTAGTGAATCCCAACAAGAACAGAAGCTTAAAGCAGTTAATTCCCTTCAGAAATTTGAAAAGCACGGTAAGAAGACGAAAACTGGTAGATGCATGCATTTCGTATTGTCTTCTCAGTACCATTAACAATAACCGGTATGCAACTGTGCCGCTCAGGTTGTGATCATCAATAGAACCTGTAACTTGCCGGTGGCTCCAACAAAGGAAGCTCAACCGATAGGGACCAACTCACATTGCATATACAAATTCGTGTGCTACTGCGGAGACAGTTACATAAGCAGAACCAATCGGTCTCTGACTTCCCGGTTAAAGGAACACGTGCCAAGGTGGGTTCAACTTGAAATTGACCAGCATCCCTGTCCCACTGAAGTTCCGTGCTTGCGCAAGCCGCCAGCTTCCTCAATAGGTAAACACCTACTGACTATGCGTCACCGGATAGAGGTTAGATCAACGTTCACACGTGTATTACGTCACCCTAATCCCCGCTTCCTCCGTTTCGCCGAGGCCGTTTTGATAAGCCGGGTGAAGCCGGCCCTGTCTGTTCAAAAGCAATTATTTATTAGCTTAAGATTACCGTGGATATAGGGGTGGAACTTCCGTCTTTCATTTTGCACCTCATGCTTATTTGGTCACACGCATACTTAAGTATGTAGTTGCATACCGGTTATTGTTAATGGTATTGAGGCGACAATACGAAATGCATGCATCTACCAGTTTTCGTCTTCTTACCGTGCTTTTCAAAGAACAGAAGCTGTTAGAGTATGAGAAGACATCAGGGACAAATAGCGCAGACAAGTTGTAAATCCCGGCATCTAGAACTGGACGCATAGCACACAAAGGCCATATTCGACGCGCGAACTAACATGAGCGCTTGTATAACACCACCTGACAGGATATGGGCTCTGGATTATGTCCTGAGAATTGAGGAGGCGAAGTGCCGCCAGAACGAAGACTTCGTCGCACCAGGCAGTGTATCAATCAAACGTCAATACAATTCGATACATCAGACAACATAAGGTGGTAAAATGGAGGCAGCAATATTTATCACAACTTAACCATGCGGGTGAATGCAGTCCATGGCCGACGACCTGCGGTAACCTTGAGTGTGTTGGCACAAGATCGACGGGAACATCTAGACAACGAAGGCGGAAGTGGATAACGGTACTAGTTGCATACGAATTAGTCAGGATTAGGATACTTTAACAATAACTCTTCAAATTCAAAGCAGCCGCAGTAGCAATTGCTTCGATATGAGAGATAGGCTTCAAAGTGACCACGGTACAAAGTGATGGATCCACTGTGCACAATGTTCGGATGAGACAAACGAATAGAATGAGGGCTGGGAAGACACTGACGTGGTATGGGATCAGTCTGTAACATGGGGTCACAGACGTGCAGGCGCAGAGGATGGGGTAGACAGCTCATGTTAATCGTTGCAGAACTAGGATGCAGACGTAAATGGGAGGAGCCTTGAACGATGAAAGGAACTGTGCATGAGGTTTATAGGAAAATGCACACAAGACGAAGGATGAAAGGGTTTTGACATTAGGTCTGCTGTTTATAACCACAGAATAGGGATGACAGGTTTGTACAGGGATAATAAACCTAGAAGGGCTTTGTAATTGTGAAGTCCTCACATCCTCTACAAGGGGAGAATGAGGATTTGCGATGCAAAGAAGAAGTCATTGAGGGTACGTATGCACACACTACCAACGCTCTGCTGCCATGCGATCACTACCAGTCGCGCGTGGGTTGGGCATACCTCGAGGTTTCCCGTAGTTATACGGATTCAAACCTGTGACTTCCAGATTACAAGGCACCGGTCACCGGCCGACATTTGTGGTGAGAGAAAGGAACAAACCAAGTCTCTTCAAGGTAAGGAAGAAAGACAGTACAGTGTAGGATAGATCTGTGGCTTCTCGCCGTCCAAAAGCACATGTTTCATCTCATTCGGTAGGACTGTGCTGTTCTAATCCCCATGCCAAAGCGGGCTCACATTCCACAGACGGCAAGCACAATGAGGAATCAGTCTGATCTCCATCGCTTGTTAATTATTGGCATCTGCAGTACCTCGTGGACTGATTGGTGCCCTTGGATTTCGGAGTAAGGAAGAACAGCGCATCTTTCGTCTCGGTCGATGTTGTATTGACCACAACTTTTCCGCCACTTGTATTGGCGATCCATCGCATTTGTGTGCCTCGACCTCCAAGATGCCTTCAGTCCGATGCATCGACCTACCCTTTAGGACTGTTTGAACAGTAAAGGTGTGCTTCGAAAATAAGTAAGTATTACTGCGGCGCTTTACGCATTTATTCAAGCAGAGTGAAAGGTTTTGGCTAGCATTCGCTCTCTTCGATATCTCCAGTGATGTGAAAAGGAATGGCCGCTGTCACTTTTTTTCCAATTTCGCTAGCGAAGAAGTTACGGAAACTGCGTTCATCGGGCTCTACTTAGATGGTGTGAAGTTAAGGTCACTTGATCAGCTTCTCTATTTGGTGGAGGGTGTCGACGATATTGACCCAGTACGTATGAATTTACCAGTCTGTTAAGCATAAATGGGAAAATTAGGTTTGCATGTCAATCGATTTGTGCTTTGCTTTGCATCCCCAAAATACCAACCTTGCCTCCTAGAATGGCACTTACCGCTCCCTATGCTGACTCTCTTTGAGGATTAGCTAGAAATCGTTGAAAACTAGTAATACCGAGGCAGCTATGTTAGGGTCTGCACGTAGGATGAAGTCACAAGGCGTATATGTAAAGCATAAGTCCCTATGCTCAGCTGCACGCCTTATGGCGCAGGCCCGACATCAGTTTCGCTCTGAAAGGTTAAGTCTACAACTCTGCTGTTTCTTCAACCATAACGCGCGATTGTAAGACGTGATTCATCAAGTTGTTAGACATAAGAAAGATTGTCTGCGTTAGACCACCAGTTCACTTGCAGTTTGGATCATATCTGTTTGAAACACCGCCTGCTTACTGAGCGAGTTCGCTGTCTTATTCATGATGCAACGGAATAGCGTGAGTTCACGCACCCGGTTTCGATGGCCGGTCCCGTGTTGCGCATGCCAGCCAATTTACTCTCATGAGATTCTGGATGAGGAAAGGTCAATCGATCATTTGGTGAAGAAGGATAAAGCCCCAGACCTCAAATTTGTCTTTGGTTAGAGCCTTCGACCTACGGACTGGGGTCCGAAAGAAGGTGAACAAATTTGGTTGGATACACTTGCTGACGTGGCGAAGTGCAGACTCCACCGGCGTTTAGGTTGTAACCCTTTTTGCTTTCTTTTCCCTCCACCGTTACTCCCATTCTCGATGTATAAGAAAAGTGATGTAAAAGTAGTCGTTTTACTTGTTTTTTTCTGTACAGTTATTTGCCGGTTGTATTGCGACGCTTGTAGGAACAAGATAATGGTGTCAGTTTAACTCACCTCTCGTTCCGTCCTGACCTTGACTATTGTCAACAGTACAGCAGAAAGTTAGCCGGCAGCTAATGTAGACGTGGCACCTGTCTGTTGAAATCCCTTAGCTCTTACCTGTTTTCAACTCCATTTTGGTGTATATGGTCCATAAGACTGGTTTTTGAACATACTTGCAGGTATCGATTTGATATTACAGAGTTCACCACCTTTTACATCAACACAGGTTCCCCCACTTCACAGAGAATAATTATCTCCGCATCACATCCTTCCGTCTCAGTTCGATTTTTGAACAACTGGTCCCTAATTGCTAGTTTGTACAAGGACTGCGTTTCCCACCAGTCTCTAAACTCACACATACTCAGTGCTCATGCTGGCATCCCGTTTTCGAGCACACTACCACTCTTTCAGTAAACTGCAAGTTGTACGAGTAGTGTTTCGTGTTGTAGATAACTTACCATCGGTATGTGTGCTCACCTCCTCATCGTTCACACAATTCCAAACTGAGACCAGTTCATGGTCATATCAGATTTGATCTCAAGCCTGCTGGTCACGATGCAACGCAGCTTGACAAATTGTAGTCATTGGCATGCAAAGCGAACGAAACCACAGGTGACCTCCGTTAGTCTAAAATGCAGGCTTTATCTGAAAAATACCGTTTCTCTGCGGTGTTGCCAAGTGATCGAGTCCACTACACTGCGGAATGAACTCTGCTACTGTTTTGCTGCGACACCTGGCCTTTTAAGCGAGTGATGTCCAAAGCCTGTCTGTTTTTGATCACCGCTACTTCCGGCGCATCGCTGCTGCAAGTTAAGGGCATCACGTTAGTAACGACGACGTTCGAGGTCGAATCATCAAATCAGACAAGTTTAGCTGAACATTGAACTGCATACTTTCCTTGCTTGTCTCCGGTCGCTTGGGCACGTCCTCCGTATATCTTCTCCACAGTTGCCGCGCCGGTTTTGTTTGTATGCCTCGGGGTTGTTTTGACGCAACTGAAAGGTGGCCAACAAACAACCTGGATCCAGAGTGCCGAGTCACGAACGTTGCCGTTGTCGACCGTGGGACATTTCAGACACCCGTGTTCAGGGTCCAAGGAAAGCGAGAAGACCTGCTTGGAAAGGCTATTGGTTATGTCCCACGAATCGTACTGCATAGCGAACGTGCTTTGAGACTCTATTCTCCTGGCTGAATTTTCTCTTCTCTTCTTTTGTCGTAACTCATGTGTTGTGACACAGTGCCAATGGTTTATTAGCTAAGTGCTGGATATATATATATATATATATATATATATATATCCGTTACGAAGCGGAATGAATGGACTACAAAATTTAGTGAGACACAGTCACCGAGGTCGCATTTGTTTGCGTTTGTTGATGTCCCATTTCCACCCAGTTATTCTTTTGCCTTTTGCTCACTCCAGGCTGTGGACATGGAAACGTTAACGAAAACACCAATACTGTTTGGGGATTTCCACAAACCAGGCCTTCCTCGCTCTGAACGCCTCTATGAAGAGTTTACCAACATGGAGAAACTAAAAACGCTGTTGGAAGAGGTGAGATACTTCTTATTTTTCGTCAGGATTTTATTTATCATTACACCGGTGGACGCTTATTGTTTACATTGGTGCGGATTCGAAAGCTGAAATCCATTTTTCTTTACCCGCATTCTTTTTAAAGTTACAGTCTAAGCCTCATGTTTACGATTTCTGGGTAGGTCGTTAGATTTTTTATGCTGTTAAGTTACTTTGTGAAATAATAAAATTTGTAACATTTGTAACATATCTTTACATATACACAAAAAGTATAGCTTTATTGAAACAACATTTAGCGTCAATATTACAGTGAAATTAATGAAATGAAGGATTTATGTGATATCTCAAAAAGTGGAGCTGGCACAAGGGAAATTTGACATCTGAGCATAGAAATATGCCCTGAAACAGGTCTTACTTTCTTTGCAAAAATACGAGGTCAAATTTTGTAGTGTACTGTTACAGCAGGCAACGTTCACTACCCGAAGTACATTAACAAACAAGACAGCAAACTTCATGTCTTAGTCGCCACTTCTTAGTTGTCAACCACGAATAGTTCATGTTTCGTAAGTAGTATATGCGCAAATACGAGTTACACTGAAATACGCAGCGGGGATAAGTTTGATCCGATTGATATACCGAACGTGGATCAGAACTGGAAAACTGATTTATCAAGCATGGGCGAAACAGCAACGGAAACCATGGAAGTGTCGCCATGAGATCACAAGCGTTGTACTAGGATATCAAATGATGCTTCCCTACGTGTCAGAATTCTATCACTAAACTTGTTACCCAACATCAGACTGCCGGAGGGTCACTACTTATAGCACCAAAAGTTAGTGGCCGGTCTGCAAATACGCTCAGATGTGGGACCAATACCGATATTCAAAGAGATTTCTGCCCCTAAATTAGTTCATCCTTCCCATTCATGTGCCATGTGGTAGACCTGTTGTTTTGGCTCCCAAGGCCAATCCCTTCGATCACTTACCGACACTGTCAAAATTGGCACGGTTGAATGGTGCTTTGATCTGTTGCTAGCGTGGTCCTTACTAACCCCTCCCCCCACCGAATAATATGTCGTATTAGGTTGCACACACTGCGAATGCTGACAAGTTGCCTATTCCTTCAGAGTTTCACACAGATTACTGCCTCCAGCGGGAGGATGGCCGTGGTTGGGAGAGATGAGGAGCACATTCCCTGCAACAATGCAAGGTTCCAAATGTGATTCCATGGTGTTGTGGGCTTCCATTCCGCCAGTGCCCTATGTACCATCGTGTACTCTAATTGTATACTGGGTCTGTGGACGTCGAAGTAGTGCGGATTGGTTCCGAATCAATCGTGTCTCCATCCGCAAGCGTCATAGCCCTATTCCTTCGGGTTAACATTGAACATGCGGTGTGTGGATGGGGTTATGAGTTTTCTCTTGGTGGGGGGGCACGTATGTGCTTTTGTACAAAGTACGGAGCAGCAAACAGCACAATTTTATTGTACAAGACACCAGATAGCCAAACTCTAAGGCATACGTATATATTGGCAACGTTTCCGCCCCGCAACGCACCGAATGTGACAATTCACGGGCTGTCACCTCTGCTTCAACTTGGCAAACTTTTTCTGCTTGTTTGACCCCGGATCTTCCGTTCCGTAGGTTACATTCTGACCAGTATAGAGTTGTTCCAAGGCTCCCGACTTGCTTGTCCGTGGTTGTTTGGGGTTATTCCTGGAGGCACAAGCAAAGATGTTTCTGCCTGATGTATAGGACTTTCGACCAATATCTTCCCTATCCTCTTTGGTCTAGGCCTGCCAACACTCGTCGCTTGAGATCCGCTCTCAACTCGTCTCATGGGACTTGCGTTACGCTGTTTGATCTTGTTCATTGGATGTTTGCCTGTTTCCAATCTCTCATGTTTTCGTGGCTTTCTCGTGTTTCGTGTAATCTTTATTCCCATCCATACGCTATAGTTGTGTACAGTGAAAGCGATGGGTTACTACTGAGTCGGATGCAGCAGCTGCTCTGCTCGAGGTTGAATGTCATTCCTTGGAGCATTTAGACGTTGGTCACTGACCAGGAATTACTGATCCATATGGGTGCATGCGCTCCCAGACCATGTACCTGGTATGTTACTACGACCACTGCTTTTTCCTTTCTTCAGGACCAGGATATCGTCATTGTGGTACGGGCATGGTTTTTTGGATTTGGTGGCACTCAGTTTCGTGGTGTTTCTCCAAAGTGGCTGATCCTTTTATCTATATCCACGGACTATAGTCGTGCGTCACTGACCACCGTCTTGGTAGGATGTATATGGTAGCGCAATTCAAATGGTTCGTTTTTCAGCCAAATTTTTGAAAAGTGACGACACATTATTGTAAGTAAGAACGCGGACACCAAAAGGACCCGACCGTAATGTGTACACACGACCAAGTTATGGTTCGTTTACTTGCAGGCGCTTTTATTCACACACGAGTCACGTGTATCGCCCGACAGACGGTGGCGCGTGATAAGCACTCACAACAAGAATAATCCGCGGATTACGGTGAATAGCAGTTGTCACAAATCAGCGGGGATTTTTGAGCTGCCATCTGGAATTACGTACCAGATGAATGAATTTATGGCAGTAAATGTGAGGTTTCTAGCTTTCTGCTCTTGTGTCCTGCCATTTGGCGTCGGTAGCAAAAGACGACGACTCCTACGGCAGCTGTGACGCAGCCAGTTATCTGACACCCAACAGTTCAAACGAACGCTTTGCTCGTCAGGAAAAACTCGTAATCAAACGCATGGTTGCTGGATGCACTTTTCTAGACGGATGTGAAGACTATGCGCTAAAAGGTGTCAATACAACCGAATGGGCTACGTGACATGTCAATCAGTCGGCCAGCTGATCAGCGTTGACACCGCTGTTAACACATTTAGGTTGTCACCCAGTACTGATGCGTATATGTTGACCCGGCTATCCGTCTGTACAATTCGAACGTATTACATAGCTTCACTTTTCTCGTGTTCGAGGTGATGGCACATTTGTAAGCCAGTGTGTTTAGCATAGAGCGTGCAGATGCATGACAGATTGTAATCCAGTTTTCCACGCGCAACCTTGTGTTATTTCAAGCGTTTGAAGCGTTACGTAGACCAAAGTTGCATCTTACACTACGTAGTCACGTAAACCAACCGGGTTCGATATCCGTTTGTGTACCAGCAGAGGGCTTTTGTTCGGAACCAGTTTTTAAATAGGCTCAAAGTCATTTTGGGTCCTCCGAATTTGCTGTTCATCGTCTTTCTAGTTGGGTAGAATCCAGTTTAATAAGGGTGGGAAGTGAATCATTAGCGGGATCCTTGGGGCACTAAATTAGTTAAGCTCAGTCCACAACAACACGTTCTCACGGTCGCTCGGTTCATCGGCTTTCAAAGCCGAGGGTTCAGTGCTTCTCTAATTGCATTCACAGCACCGACAGGCCATTTAGCATCATATCGCAAGTGGAAGGGTTGATCTACAATCCATGAATTTCTGTTAGCTGATGCAAGCTCCTAGTTAAGTAAAAATCAAGCAGCCTCATTCACCGAGCGATTCTCCTCGGGGTCAAAATGAAGTTTGGCTAGGCTTTGGTGACAGGTGCCCCAGAATTTAATACTTAAACACACTTTGTATCACTAAAAATTAGGACAACCATGGGAGTCGGACAAACGGGAGCCTAAACGCGTAGTCAGAAGTCTGTAGTCCTTGCATGGAGAGGGTGAACGCAATGGTGCCACGGAGTTTTGTGCGCAACATCTGAGTTAACTCACGACATGTGTCTTCTGATGTTCACGTTTAAAAAATGTTCCTTGGGGTTTATAGCTGTTGGTGTGACGGGCGCCAAAGCCTCTATCCTGAGAGACGTCACAGATCGACCCGACGGAAACTTTCCTTGGGTTTTTTCAACTTCTTCTGTCATGTCCTCGATTTACTCTCTCCTGGATTCACCTACACAGGTGCACCGTCTTCACAATTCATTCACCCTGGTTTTGCAATACCTATGTTTGCGAAATCCATGACCTGGCATAGAAACATGCGGCCAGAAGCTAGTCAACAGTTCACTACGGGATCAAATGACGTGTTGTCTCACCAACACACACACTCATAAACCGGCGGGCGTCAGCGTGACTCACTCGTAGCTCGGACGATAACCCAGAATTTCGGGCGTTTGTCAGGCAGCAATACACGCAGCTGCTTAGCATGTTGAATCCTAAGGCTTATTTACACTTAAGGAAGGGGTCGATAGCTTCACAACATTCCATTCCTTTTAATAACGCTCCTTTGGATGAAGACGTAAGTCGTCAAGTACATGATCGAACAAGCTATTGTCGCAAAGCTCGGCCATTCGTACGGCAATTGATTTACTCAGCAGCGCAATCTCTGACAAATTGGTAGCATGGCTAGCTTGTACAAGCCACGGTGTATCAAGCCAGATAGCTTCACAACTAAAGACGCATCTTCATTCGTGAGATTCTCCTCTTGCCTCAGCCAAACAAGCTCACTCCAACACAGTCAAATATTAAACCATCAGGCGTAGACTTCCAGTCATAGGCTCTGTTCGTTTGCGGAAACCTATCCGCTTGCTTCCTCATGTGAGTTCATCGAGTTCCTATGATTGTATATTCTCCGCCCATCTTCCAGCTTTTCGTGGTCATCCGCATCGGTGTCGTTGAAGACTCCGTGCGCTCTTACGCCCCGCGTGGTCTTTACTGTCCCTGCCGTTATGATCCCACTGTAAACCGCATGTGGTTTGCTTCAGATTCACCTTCTGGTTCCCGATGTCGCATCCGCTGCACATGATTCCTTCTGCTTACCTTCCTTCCGGTACTGACCTCATAAGATCTTTTTTCGACCCTCGCGGCCACTACGTCTTGTTTGCATTGCTCGTTGACACCCAGTATTGGTTGAATCCACACTCCATCATTTACTGACAGCCCAGGTAGCGCTGTTTCTGATTTGCTATTGGTCTTTCTAAACTCCTTTACAGTTGCTCATGTGACGGAAAGACCGAGCGCGAAAGCTTTGCCGACGCAGGTATTAGGGTTTTTTAACTTCGGATATGCAGACATTGCACTGGACTGAGATCAATGTTCAGTGATGGCGTGTTGCGAATCTTCAACAGCATCGGACCCGAGTCCTCTGAGTGGCTGTTCCCTTCGGCTTGTTTGACTACCGTTCGATCGGTCGTAATCTCCCCCGTTGCGTCGTCAAGTAACTCTGTCTTGTCCCTCTGATTATATGCTTCCATCACGGACATTAGAGCTTGAAGCCGTGGTGTAGCAACTAGTTCTGCCGCCAGGAACTTTGGCACAGTTTTCGCTCTGACTTAGGGCAGAATAGGCGCATGATGGCCATCCAATCGACTGAGGGTAAAGTGCACATTCTTTTTCAATGAAATGGATGATCGTTTCGGACACAGAGGTAAAGGTGGTGAAAGTTATCACAATGGGACAACTAAGAGAATCTTTGGGAAGCGCTTATGCAAGATGTGGCACATGGCGAAAAGGTGTTGTATATCATACGGAGTGACATTAAAATATTCGACCCTCAGCTTATCTGGAATTTTCGCCCCTTATAATTGGTATCGAGCAATCAATGGCAATAAAAATGATGCCCCATGTTACATGTAAAGTGGGGCGGACCACCGCCCCTACGCTACACCTCTGACTTGAAGAAATACAAGAGGAAGCCCGCGGCAATATTTTGAAAGCGCAGACAACGTTTTGTAGGAGAGTGATGACCCAAAGATGTTCACAGCATCTGTGGAACAAGCGGTAGAAAGAGCTCTCGGGTTGTGAAATTAAGTTCCGATGCGCGCAGGTGGTCGTTTGCCAAATGATTGCGCGCTTGAGCTTGGACCAGGCGTTTCGTTTGACCTTCTGTTTAATGTAACAAAGTTCTGCGATATTCTGCGGCGTCATCTGGCTTTGGTTTACGGACACGTATTATTGGAAAGTAAACAATGTTAGTTTCGCATTCTTTTAACCAATCAGTACTCGTTTACATGCGGATGCAGTAGCGAGTTGGATTGTGTGAAACAGCTTTACATGATGCTTGCGACAGTCGAGCAGATTTAACGACTGTTAACCTGCTCCGCTTGTTAATGATAAACTGAGGATGTCCTACAAATCTTTACCTGCAAACAATATCGATGGATGATCGCATTCGTCTTTTTACTGCGGCACAAATGCCACAATATGTTCATTATCCAACCTTTTGTACACTTCAGTATATGGACGATTTTAATATTAGTCAAATGAAAGATAACAAACTGGTGTTTTTCACGGACGCCATCGAGCACGTTTGCAGAATTGCAAGGATGCTCAGGCAAGACCGAGGCAACGCTTTGTTGGTCGGCGTGGGCGGTACTGGAAAACAGTCGCTTACTCGGTGAGTCAAAGCTTTTGTCAACCACTAGAGTCGTTTCTTACAATAAAACGACATATTATTTTAACGGCAAAAGCGCCGAATCTATTTCACCCTATATTTCATCATCAGGCAATTTTACGGTTGAGGTGCAAGTAACCCGAACACTGTGAATGCTATACCCTCCGTAGCGCTTCGGAACTAAGTACTCTCTGGTCAGTTTAGGACACACGCCAGGAGGATCAAGGCAGGTCGAATGCGTCGTCCATTGCTTTCAACGATAATCCAATATACTATTAGACAGGATGTACATCTGACAAGGCCACTGATATTTGAACTGATCGCAAAGCACTTCCCCCTACGGTTGCAAGTTTTAAGTTCAGCCTCACTCTCCAGATGTTTCAGTGACGTTCGTCTCATTTACAGACATCATTGTAGATCCATGATTTGGCGACAAATACACCAATGCATGGAACGATTGCGCGGAACGGAGGCTGAGCGCCTTTACATGTGTAAGTGGTGATCCCTAGCAGGGCGAATCTGCGAGAAGTAACGTGATGATCAGTTCAGCTTTGCACCCAAAAGATAAAATATTTTACACTGTGTAGGAGAGAAAGTCACACGGAATAGACCATACGGAATAGTCCACAAGGTGGCGGAGATGTTCCTGATCTTGGATTGACTAAAACCGGAATGGATATCTTCCAAGATTGCATTTAGGAAACTCCTATTTCAGGTCCTGTGAAGGATGATACCAACAACTTCTCCGTGATGACAGCTGAGTGGTTTGGGTCAGTCTCTTTCCAGAGAATGATTCCGTGGCAGTGTTCTAGCACGTGGTTGGTTTCCGCCCGTCAGGCGTACTCTATATATAAAGCGACAAATATCCGTTTCACAACACTGCGACGTGACGGAGTGTAATCGACAGTAAATAAACTCGCCGCCTATTGTCCATCAAGATGATCATATCCGCTCCACGAACGGCAATAATCCCCTCGAATAGTTCCTCTTTGAATTGACGAACCGACCAAACGCAATCACACTTGAAGAGTTACATTAACAATTTCGTTCAACTTGGCCATCTACTCAGAGTTGGCGGCCTCTGGTTCCGCATTTGCCTGTCACTGCGGCCTCCATAGGACAGACACAGGACGCCTGCGCATACAGCGAGACCTGGTAGCTTGCGATGCACCACCCACAGCTCCATCCACAAGCCCCATGCGCAGTGTAAACCTGGAGGAATAAGACCGGGAGACTTTTGGATGGGAGCCACGTTTCATCCATGTACATGTTATAAACATAGATAGAGCCGGCGTAGCGTTTGTAGTACGCTGCATTCGATTTACTAACCGTGTGCTTGCATGCAAATTCCCTTTATTTTAGGGGGTAGGATTTCAATGTTGTTTTAGTGATTTTCTTTCTCGTATTAATTTCTACCAGTACTCTCTTCTGTAAACTCGTACAAGTAGCTTAAGTCAATTATAGTTAATATCGATAACATTTTCATGTTTGTGGCATTTTCTTAAAATATGCTTTCTGACCTCTTGAACTTATCGCGGATTCGTTTTTAATCACTTATACGCTCATTTAGTGAAAAGCTTTGTCTCCGTATCTGTATGCATTGTTCGATTTATTTTCTTTCAGCTTGTCGTTTCAAGTGCGTGGCTGTTGCTTGTTATCCCTGGTGTGGCCGCGCTTGATGTGCATGTTGACAAGGTGCCTACCTGTCTATTACCCATTACCTCGTCCATACTGGCTCTAGGAGACAGTTGGTCGTTGCTGGAGGGGACGGGGTGCACGGTCCTTGTGGCCGTGTTAGGATCAAAGAGTGGTTCCATGCGCTCAGTGTGGAGCGGACTACGGTCCAGCCACCGCTTTATGTACGCTTGATCCCCCAAATATAGCGTGCTTGTGTTTGTTTGTGAATAAGTGTGGGCCGGCTCCGTTGATGAAACGTGGCTCCCATCCACATGCCTCCCGGTCTTATTCCTTCGGGTTTACACTGGATATGGGGTGTTTGGATGGAGCTGTGAGTGATGCAGCGCAAGCCACTGATGGTCCCTCTGTAGGCGCAGGCGTCCTGTGACAGGCTAACCAGAAATCAGACGCCGTCACAATATATATATATATATATATATATATATATATATATATATATATATATATATATATATATATATATATATATATATATAACGAACTGCTGACTTGCTCGTATGTACACATTACAGCTATGTCCTTTGCGTTTCCGTCTTCTTACTTACAATACTGACGACGGGTTATCGAACCCATAGCCTCTATCAGAAAAGTGGAAGACTACACTTAGGCATCCGGTTCGTGAAACCATTAAATCCAGTGTATCAAATGTTTTTTCGCTGCTAATGAAATCGTCAGTGACAACTGTAAAGTGAATATCTTACTGTGTATCTGTGGTTCAAGACTTACTAGTTACTGCGCAGCTTGGAGACTCCCGATTTGCCATGAATCAAACAAATTACTGGACTGGTCACACTGGTTTCCAATCATTATAATGCAAAACTATTATTTATTGTGCAGCGATTTAAAATCAATACCCGAATTCAGGTTAGAGGGGTCAGTTGCTTCCTTCCTTGCCGAGTTTCGGAAGTTGATGGAATATTGTGATTTCAGTAACTAGCGAAACGATATGATCCGGGATCGTCTGGTGGTCTGCATCAAAAACGTTCGCATTCAGCGCTGCCTGTTGGCTGATAACGCATTAAGGTTGGAAATTGCCTATGGTGTTGCGGCGGGCATGGATGCTGCTGAAAGTTATGCCCAACTACTACAGCATTTACTGCTCAGTTCAAAGCCATGTGTTGAACATATCACGGCCGAACTCAACAAAGTTCAACTGTTATCGCTGCGACTTGCGGCACGGTCATCCCAGAGAATGCAAACATACACAGACAGTTAGTAACAAATGTCGGAAACGTGGACAATTGGCCCGTATGTGCCGGTCCAGTACAAACCCATGTTCCACGGTAGTAAACAACCAACTTGTTGCTACTGAACCACAGGAATATATATTTAACTCAGCTACCTCAAGTACACAACCGCCATTTTGCGTGCAGCTTTGTGTTAACCAGATTCCAGTGCATTTCGAAATTGACACGGGCAATGCAGTAACGCTGTGAAACGAACGAACTTGGTTCCAAAGTTTGGCTCCAATAAGCCACATCAACATATGTCAGGTGCCCCTGCGACTGCGTACATACACAGCTGATGTAATGAAATTGCTGAGAGTGCAGGACGTTGAGGTGCCCTATGGAGGATCGTCAACCCTAGGAACAATTTACATCGCGCTCGGGGATAATCCCAACCTACTGGAACTCGACTGGAGCAATTAGCTTCCAGTTCTGCAGATAGACCATCTTTCCCTACCATCGGAGATACACACACTGTTCCAGCAATATGTACCAGTATTTGAGACGCTGGAGGAGGGAAAATTCACCGGGGGCCAAGTTAATATCTACATTCTACCTGGCACATAACCCCGATCCATCAAAGCTCGATAGCTGCCGCATATGAAGATAGAAGAGGAACATGATCGCCTGCAGAAGGACGGTGTTATATAACCAGCAACGTTTTCGGATTGGGCTACACCAATTGTTCCGGTACTCAAGCCTAATGGATCGATACATATATGTGGGCACTATAAAATTACTGTCATTTGCCGTATTACGGCTGAAAAATACCCGATCCCAAAAATTGAGGACGTTTACACACAGCTGGGTACCAGCAGGTATTTGTCAACCTTGGACCTCGCGCACGCTTATCAGCAGCCTGAACTATTCGAAGATGCCGAGACAATATTGACGACCAGTATCCATCGCCGTTTGTTCGGATTCAACGGACTACCATTTAGCACATATTCGGCTCCGGCCATTTTCCACTGAACAATAGAGAATATCATAACAGATTTGCCTACAGCTTTCCTATACCTAGACGATATCTTGGTTACGGGGCCACAACTGACAAACATCTACAAACTACGAGCTGTTCTGGACCTTCCGAAGGTGAATAGTTTGAGGCAGAAACGTGAGAAATACGTCTTCTTGGCTCCTCAGGTTGGTTATTTGGGTTTCCGTGTAAGCGCTGAAGTGCTGAAGACGATTGTGGCGAAATTCCTGCCTGTACTTGAGGCACCACAACCAGGAAATCAAAACGAGTTGAGGTCCTTCTTCGGAATGCACAATCACTACTCAAGGTTTGTTGGGGCAATCAGCCACAGTGTTACACCCGTTGCGTCGTTTTTTTGCAAGCATACTCAGTGGGTGTGGTCTGAGAAGCTGACACCTAATGCATCACCCTACGGAGTCGGAAATGTCCTGTTACAACCTGACGTGAACGGAGTAAACAAACCAGTTACATTTTCCTCTCGGACCCTATCGCAGACCGAACGAAATTACGCCCAAATTGACAAGGAGGCTTTGGTGAGCATTTTTGGGTTGTGCGATTTCACCAATACCTATTCGGGCTGAGATTTGAAATGTATGCAGACCACAAGCCATTACTGGGAATTCTGGGTCAATCAAATGCCATACCCAAATGGCATCGCCTCGGATGCTACCCTGGGCTCGACTACTAGCAGGAGAGCAGTATCAACTAGAATGTCTTCTTGAGAAGGAGAATCATTGTGCCGATGCTCTCAGCCGACTTCCATTACGGTAGGCTCCGAGCCACACGCCAGCTTTGAGAGAGTTGGTACAATAAATACCTTGCTTGGATGATTCTCCGGTGACAGCAACGGAAATAAAATCAGAAACAAGGATTGATCCGGAAGTGTCGAAGGTACGCGATTGTCTCCTAACTGGTTGGCCGGGCCGGGTAGATGAAAGTCTAAGAGCATTTCACACTCAAAGAGATGGATTAAGCCTCGAGGACGATTGCATACTTTGGGGCTCTCGAGTCCTCGTCTCCAAACGGTTTCTTCAAACAATCCTGCGGAAATTCATATAGGTCACCAATAAATTTCAAAGGGGACTGCACTAGCACGTAACTAC